CCCCCCCCCACCCACCACCACACTCCCCAACTCCTCTTCTCCCCCTAACTCACACAAGAAACTTTCATTTTCGGGAAGTCTGCACGCTCTCAACACACAACAGGCGCGTGCAATGCCGGCGTGAATGGTGAATGGGATCCCAAAAAGGTGCACGGAGACGATTTGGGGAGACGCGCGCAGGTGGGAGACAATGATTGCCTGCGTTTATCGTAAGAGTGTGAATTAGTTTCGTGGAAAAAAACAAAAAAAAAAACAAGAAAGAAAGACAAGCAATTGCAAACGGGGATGGAAAGCGCTCCTCTGCCTCATCCGGACAGGAGTGAAGCCCCCCAAGAAAGAATGAAGTAACCGCGATGGAGCCGGACAATGCCCCGCACTCCGAACTCAAAGGAGCCGGGGGGTGAGTCGCCGCAGTCGCCGCACTTTGGCATCTTATTTCTGCTTGCATGAAATCCACATAAACCTCACGAATACATCATCACCTCGTATTAACTTTCCATGTCATGAATTAAGTTCGTGGAACCGCACATAAACGTCAAATGTGGGGGGAAAAAAAAAGTTTCATTGGAAGGTGCGGCGCAGTTTTCAACGTCCCGTTTTGGCAGCCGAACTGGGATTTTGTGTTAAAAGAGATGTATGAGAGGAGGAGACAAGCCGTCCTGATCTCTCCTCCCACGTTGTGCATCATCTTCTGTTTATTGGCTGCACCCCCCCTTCCCTCAAAAGGGAGGAGAGAGGAGGAGGAGGGGGAGGGGGTTGCATCATATCCACTCATCGCTCGTCTCCACTACTGTACATACAGTGTGAGTGCAGCGCACACCCACTTTTGTTTTTGTTTTAATATCCAGGAGAGAGGAGAGAGAGAGAGAGAGAGAGGGGGGGGGGGAGTCCTGAGGAAGGATTTAATGTCAGCGGAGTGGTTTGACCGCTGGTTTGCAGCAGCTCTCTGGGAAAAACCACAAATGTAATAAAATTCGTGAATTACAAGCGCTGTTTGCGAGCCACCCACAACCCACATTATCAACTGCGGGAGTGTAAAAGAAGCTTTCAAAAGAAAGAAAGAAAGAAAGAAAGAAAAATCTGGGTGAGGCCAACGCTGCAGTTAACACCTAACATGGGAAATAACTCAGTGAAACAGCATGCTACTGTTTACTCCTTTCATAATAAAAGATGATGGAACTATCCGTCCATTCATTTACTAATCTGCTTCTCCTCACGAGGGTGGCGGGCGTGCTAGAGCCTATCCCAGCTGTCTGTAGGCGGGGGACACCCTGAACCGGTCGCCAGCCCATCGCGGGGCACACATCGACAAACAACAATCCGCCCTCAAACTCAGCCCTAGGGACAATTTGGAGTGTTCCATCCATTTGCCGCGCATGTTTTTTGGAATGTGGGAGGAAACCGGAGTACCCGGAGAAAACCCACGCAGGCACAGGGAGAACATGCAAACTCCACACAGGGAGGCCGGAGCCGGGATTGAACCCACGACCTTTGCACTGTGAGGTCAACGCGCTAACCAATGGACCACCGGGCCGCGACTTCAAACATGATTTGATACATTGAAGACTGTCCGTGGGTGTACAAAAGAGTTTGTGCCCATGTGTAGCAGGTGACAATATTTCATTTGTATTAAAATGTCTTTTTTTTTTTTTTTTGTCCTAGGAGAGTCCTCATTCTTTGGACTATTCTGTGTTGTAGCTGCTCTCTCACGCTGGCTCAAAGTGAGTATTATTTCCAGAACAAACGCAAGTGTGCTTTTATTTTGCTTCTATTTGGAAACAATAAGACAGACATGGCGATAAAACACCAGAAGCTGTGTCTGCATGAGGGCATTCACTCATTCAGTACCAGCCTGTCTGAAAAGACGTTTGAAAACGTCTTTGGGAGTGAATGAGTGTTAATAACCTCGACGTACATTTGCCTGACTTTGCCGCGGGCAGCCTGGTTCAGCTCCCATTCAAGTGATGCCGCGAATCAAAAAAAAAAAATGAATGCTTATTCCTGTTCTGGCAACCAGTCCAGGGTGTCATCCGCCTTTCGCCTGAAGTCAGCTGCGACAGACCCTGGTTCCCCCGTTTCCTTGAACAGGAATAAGCTGTGTGAGGAAATGGACAGGTCGAGTGATTTACGCGGTCAGTTGCAATTTTCTGACTACTCTGGTGACAAATTCGGGCTCCAGATAAAAGCGAAAGAATCTGTTCAACTCTTGAGGGCATCCCGGATGAGGGTAGCAAGGATGTCGCAAAATGGATCTTTGACCCACCTGCCGTCTGGGCCAACATTTCTTTCTCCTCAGCACAGCCCAAAATTGATTTTGTAAAGCAGCTTTTCCTTTGCGTTTTATGGAGAGAAAACCCATGCATATTTTTCGATCTTTATATAAGCTGGCAGTTTCGCCAGCGCACGTACTGAGTGGATTAGCGCACAGTATCCAAGATGAGCTGATTGGCCCTGGATGATTTTCCAACCTCTTGAAGCTAAACACAGCGCCTTTGTTTGACAGCGCCACCGAGGCTACGGTTCCACGGTGGAGACCGGCCAATTTTTTTTTTTTTTAATGTTTTGAATACAGCACCGATGAATGCTTCGGCTCATGAAATTAAAATCAGATTTTCAGTTTTCATCAGTTTTCACCTGGAAGTTGAGACATAGTTTGAGGTTGATACCATTATTCATACTCATAAGCCTTGAAATTCTTCCTTCATTTTACAAGTGAACATTGAAATGTCGGGAATCAAAACTCACGAGAGAATCCATCCATTTTCTGAATGATGGATGAATACATCCATCCATTTTCTGAACCGCTTCATCCTCACAAGGGTTGCGGGGCATGCTGGAGCCTATCCCAGCCGTCTTCGGGCAGTAGGCGGGGGACACCCTGAACCGGTTGCCAGCCAATCGCAGGGAGCACAGAGACGAACGACCATCCGCGCTCACACTCACGCCGAGGGACAATTTAGAGTGTTCAATCAGCCTGCCATGAATGTTTTTGGAACGTGGGAGGAAAGCGGAGTACCCGGAGAAAACCCACGCAGGCACAAGGAGAACGTCCAAACACCACTCAGGAAGGCTTGAGCTGGAATCGAACCCGGTACCTCTGCACTGTGAGGTCGACGACACTGGACCATCAGGCCGCCGAGAGAATCTTCATCTTTATTTATTTCAACACTCATATATCTCCTAAAATAGCACCGCTGTTCCCTCCCAGGACCACTTCACCCTGCATTTTTTATTTTTTTTTATGGTCACTGATCTAAAAACGGCAAGTGGATGTGATTTGTAGGCCTGCGCAGGAAATCTCAGCGCATCCACTTGTTTCGTGACCTTGTTCCATTGGCTGGCTTTTGACATTCGTGAGACTGAAAAGTAAGCTATTTGTCTAGGAAAGAATGTCGCTGCGCAAACGACTGCACAGTGGAAGCTTGAAGTCGAATGCCAATGAGGTCGTACAATATATCGGAGGCTCTCGGTTTCCGACGGAATTCCCTTTGTGTTGGTGGAACAGAGTGACTGGACTCAGAAGATGCCCATTACGGTTTCTAAAGTTCTCCGCCATGAACGAGATACAAAAGGTGTTCTGGAATTGCAGACTCCCAAACTTGTATTCGGTGCATGCAACAGAAAAAAGACAAAGTTCTCCCTTTGGGAGTCTTCGGTTTGATGTTTGTGGTCTGGCGTCGCTGACTTCTCCTCTGTGTCTGTTTTGAAGATGTCGATATTCTGCAGCAGCTGGGTCTCTCTGGGCAAAGGGCGGGCGGCTCGTCGTCCTGGAGCGCTCGACCCATCCCGGACGGAGTCATCCCCTTCAAGTCCGGCGTGATTCTCACCCCGAGGGCGCGCGTCCAGGTGCCTCTGCGCACTGTCATCCCAGCTTCCTACAGCGCCTCCAACCTCTCCCTGATTCTCAGTCTGTCTCTTCACCGCATCAACAGTGCCTTTCTTTTCTCCGTTGTGTCGAAGAGAGGGCGAGTGCAGCTCGGTGTGCAGTTCATACCGGGCAGGGTCCTTGTTTACGTCAGCCACAGGAACTCCGTCGGATTCGACTATGATGTTCATGATGGCCGGTGGCACAGTCTGGCCTTGGAAGTCCGAGGCCACCGGGTGTCCCTGCACACGTCTTGCGGGAACAGGAGCCTTCACGCAGATTTGAAAGGCAAAAAAGTGGAAAGGCTCGATCGGGAGGGCTCGTTCCTACTGGGGAAAAGGAACCACGACGCGGTGCCGTTTGAAGGCGCCATCTGCCAGTTGGACATCTACCCCTCAGCGGAGGCGGCTCATCACTATTGTGATTACGTGAAGAAACATTGCAGACAAGCCGACACGCATCGGCCCGTCTTCGCACCCCTGCTACCTCTAATCGATCCAAACGTAACTCATACCACAGCACTGGCATCCCGAAATACTCCCAAAGCTACCGCCTTCTCAGCAGAGGGATTCGTTTTTGTTCCGAGTGATCATTTGCGAGTTGGGAATGACACGTTTATGTATCGGACTCCTGAACCTGCTCTTGCTGTCAGTCAAGTGGACCGTCCAGGGTTGGAAAGACCCACCGAAACTGTGACCTCATCTCTTTGGAGCAGTCCGACACCACCGACACGGGAATTACCTTCGCAAACAGGAGTCGACACAAAGGAAAGAGAGGCCCACTCTCTTGTTGGCCAAGGATTCACGGATGTACCAAGACTGCCAGAGGCCACGAGCGAGTCCACACAGGCGTCCTCCTCAAGATCCTTTTTTTTCCAGCATTTGTCCACCGTTGCGCCAAAAAACCTCGATCCCGAAGCAACCAGTGCGCAGGATGTCAAACCCACGCCGGTTATTCCTGTCACTCCTGCAGCCATCGATGACTTCCAAACATTTGACCTTGAACCGACCCTTGTCTCACTATTGGCAGGACCACCCGGACTTAAGGGAGAACCGGGGCCTCCGGTGAGTCAGTTCTTTCAAACCTGTGTGGGAGAGTTCCTGGTACAGTTCTGTCAGCATAGTGTTTATTTTGCAAGTGATTATGATTAATTATACCATTTCATAACTCTTGGCTGCCCTCTCCATGTGGGCTAATCCCGAATACGATTTTGGTTCTCATTTGTATGCAAGTTCGTGGCTTTAATCCTGCTGACGTGGATATCAAACGTGTCTCCAGGGTTTGAGGTTGTGTAAACCTGGAGCGCTCTGTGTTGATACGTCCAAATTAGAATTTCTGTTTCCCCTGACTTCAGTTTATTGTTCCGAAGTTACATTTAAACTTGTCAAAAAGAGCTAATCTCCATTTTAGCCGTCTTATAAACATCCTCGGCTTGTCTGTTACTTTGATGGCTGGCACTGGGGTGTTAGATTCTTCTGACCGACAGCCCGATGACAGCCCACTATTTGAACAAAGGCACAATTAACCGGTTACACTGAAAAATACCTGACATTTTCCTCCCAAAAGATGCACTGCACCCGAGGCCGAGTACGCCTGTCAACTGTTTTTGTGCCAATTTTGCCCTTTCCCAACCATGGGCACCAAACATCTGCTTTATGTCTTATGAGATTGTCATAAGATTCTATTTTTGGTCTGAGGTGTGTCAAGAGCGGATCTGTCCCGATAATGGGTTCAACAACTGCAGAATCTTATTGCTTGTGGTGCTCTGCGTTGAGATAATTGGAGCACGCCATACACAATACACCCACATTTTCAAATGCTTTTAAATCTTTATGTGTAGGATCTGTCACAGATTAAAAGAAAAAAATTGAGGATTGAAAAAAAAACCCCATTGCGTATACCACGCCCTCTTGGACTAACCAATTGAATTAAAGCCACATGTACTCTTTGAAGGTCAGCTATGTCAAACAACGCTCGACTTCTCGAACATTTTTGGCTTTTTAAAAGCAAGAACCAAACTTTTGCGAGAACACATACGTATACACTAAAGAGCGAGAACACCAAATACATGTGTCTGGTAGAGTAAGCGTGGAATAAAATGCAATTTGACACCAAAGTGTCAAGTGCTTGCATGATTAGCAATAAAATGGCATATGTAGGGCAGCACAGTGACTAGTGGTTAGCACATCTGTCTCACAGTTCTGAGGGTTGAGGTTTCAGTCTTGGCCCCGGCCTTCCCGCGTGGAGTTTTTATGTTTCTTCCCATGCTTGAGTTTTCTCTGGGTAATCCAACTTCGTCCCCTGTTCGAAAAAAAAAACAGGCAGGTTAGGGTTACTGAAAACTTCAGGTTGCCCATTGTGTGAATATCTTTGTTTGCCTATCTGTGCCCTGTGATTGAAAGATTGAAGACATTTGCGCTTCTCTGTCGGCTGTCTAACAGCGGGGAAGGGGGGTGGGGTGGGGTTAGGGGTACTGACAAGACAAATTTGATTTAAAAAAAAAAATGCCTGTAAAAAAGAAAACTGGAGGGTGGGTTGAAATGAATTAGCAGTACGTTCAGAAAACCAGTTGTTGCCTCGCAAAGCCTACCGGTAGTATTAAATGGGCATGATTACAGCATTATTAACTAAAAACTGGTGTTTATCGAGCTTCGTGTCATTCTGAGAACAAAAAGTAGCAAATGTGGTTTTAGTTCTCAGCTGCCGTCCCAGCCCTTGATTCATTTTTTTTTATAGCTAGCTTTAGCATAGACTTTAAACGCAGATTTAGCTTCCGGTGCTCACCTTCTTTTACAGACTACTTCAACATTATTTAGTCAGAGGTTTGATATGAAACAACGCTACGTAGCATGTGAAGTTTAGATTAAAGCTTAAATCTCAGCCTCTTTGAAACTGACCTTGCTCTTCTACGCCTTGCTTTGCAGAGTTAGCATTTAGCTGCATCAGCATGTTTCCTCCACTTGACATTAATAAGCTCGTTGCAGTCTTGTTCGCTGTCTGTCCGCGAAACATAAAACGCTTACATGCTTTTTCCATTGTTGAAGAAAGAAACCTTCCGTGCATTAGCACGTATGACACACACACACACACACACACACACACACACACACACACACACACACACACACACAAAAAGGTTTGCAATAAGTTTTTCCTGCTGTGGTGGTGAAGGGAACCGCAGCTCTACGAGCCACTCAGACTAATTTTGTGAGAGCAGAAATTGCTGCCAATCACTTGGGTGGTGAAGGTCATCTTCCCGATGCTTCGCATGACTGTGTAACTCGCTGACATCTGCTTTTATGTAGTTGACGCAGACTTCCATGGCAACCGTGCAATTTGAAAAAAAGCCCTTGACACGGTGTCTGTTTCACATGTTGTAAATTGAACAAAAAGAAAATAATTGAAACGTGTTATGTCAAGACCGAATTCCAACATTTCCACAACTCTTTTTTTTTTTTTCCCAGCAGTCCAGCTGAAGTAGCACTTCTACGCTGTGATTCATTTTTGTTTTGTAATATTCGATAGTCTATAATTACAGTCAGGCCAAGATAGGATCATCCTTGATTAATCTGGTTAAACCCGGGGGGGGGGGGGGGGATTCAAATCCACCCACGAAGTGAAGATGTCTCACAGCGTGTGACTAAAACTAAGAAACTGGTTGATGAGAACCGACTTTGATTTTTCTAACCATAATTACAACAGTGGCACCGGGTGGTTAGCATGTCTGCCTCACGGTTCTGAGGTTCTGGGCTCGAATAACGGCTCGAGCTTTTCCAGTTCATACGTTCTTCCCCTGAGGTCACGCCGCTTCTCGCCCAAAGTCAGTTTGGATAGGAATCCATCCAAAATGGTCAACCACTTGCGATGGATAGTGTTTCCGTTGAAAAGTGACATCATCACCTTTGATTAGTAATGCCTATTGAAGCACTTTTCAATGTTTTTTTTTTTTCACGATTCTAGTAAAAAAGGATTTGATTGGATGCAAAAATTAAGCCCAAAGCTGTTCGTCAATACACTCATTTCATAGCGGGTGGTTACGGTTCCCATAAAATCCTTCTTTTAAACAATACGACAAATGTTTCTGGTTGTATTTGATTTTGTACGACTTGACTATATTCTCCCGAGAGCAAGCCTGTTCTTGTTATTGCTTCGGCCGTGGGAAAACGGAGCAACGCTGCTAACTTCTCAAGCGAGCTCATGTTCCTCAGATCCCTCATTAGTTTTGACCTTTCCGAGCCTCGCTAATCCATGTGTGAAATTGTTTTAAAGCCGGCCAATGGCTTTCATTAAAGCGCGTTGCCTTGCCTGTTCGATATGTCACAAGTGACTTTACTAGCGTGAGGAATATTGGCGTCGTAAGGGTCACTTGCACCCTTAATAAGACATTTTCTGGCCTGCCAGTACTGTATTTCACTCTCCCACAGTTTTAGCATCTGGTACTTAATAGCATTCAAATAACCGTGAATAACTTTTGTGACACTCATTAAAAGTCCGACATGAATGCACCTGTTGTGACATCACTTTGCGTGTACATTTACACACTCATCGAGATGAAAACTAACTCGTGATCTGACACCGTTCTTTCCAGGGATTTCAAGGACTTCCAGGATTACCAGGAAAGCCAGGGAAGCGGGGCCCACGGGTGAGTGAAGGGAACACTTCCATCGCGCATCGCAGGTGCCCCGAACATTTCCTCGGTCGTGTGTGTGGCCTCCGTCGGCCCGCACGCACTCCCGTGTGATGTTTGGGCAGGCAAAAGCGACTCCTTTTGTGCATGGTTGGCATGTGGGCGAAGGAAGAACTGTGTGTATATGACTTCCATGTGCAGTCCCTGTGATGTCTGGGCATGCTGAGGGATGTCCTATGTTGAGGTCAAGATGGTCAAGGAAGAACATTGTGTTTCGGCGTGCCCTTTTGAAAGGAGCGTTGATATAATTAATGTATTGTTGTGGTTTCACTCGCTATGTTGTACCACACATGGCATCCAGAATATCCAAAATGGCAGCAGCTGTCTGTCTGTTTTTTTTTTAGTAGGCAGGCTGTGAAACCTAGTAAAAAAACCCTAAAAAAAAAAAAAAAAAACAAAAAAACAACAACAAAACTGACGGGCGAACAAGTAACAAAATCTGACATCATTTTAGCAGAAATAAAATGTGCACTGGTCTTTTGCAGAGCTGCTGCATGACTTTTGAGTCCTACTTGTGGTATAGGGTGGGGCTGTAAGTGTGTGTGTGTGTGTGTGTGTGTGTGTGTGAGTGTATGTGTGTGTGTGTGTGTGTGTGTGTGTGTGTGTGTGTGTGTGTGTGTCCTGTGGTGGGACCTCAGTGGAGCTGGCCTGTTGCAGGCCAATCCCTTTAAACAGCAAAGAAAGAAGCCTTTGTCCCCCATCAAATCATATTAAAGTGTTTAAAGACCTCGTCTGGAGATCAACGAGTCTTTACGCTCGCACACTTTGAGGTTCATTCATCAGTCAGCATCCAAATGGATCCAAATGTAGGCCACTGACACTCCGAGTATGACTAACGCACCCTTTACATGACCCAGCACACATTTCCAAGCATAGTTTGCGTGATTAGAAAGAAAAGGGAGAGATTAGGAATGAATACCGTCACAAAAAGTCCACTCAGGTAAAATATGGGAGATATTAAAACGGAAACTCTTTTATTCCGTACGGACATGAAACGCATTTGCAAATTATCATCCATACATTTTCTGTACCACTTGTTTTGTTTGGGGTTCAGCCAAGGGGGTCACTGACCTTTTTGAAAAGCAAATCTACTTCTTGGCTATGGATTGCGAATTGCCTTTCATTTTGTGTTGTCATTCGGAGTTGTAACAGACTTGAATCGGAAAATTGGCTCTGATGTCACGAACCCAAACCGTCCTCAAATCGGTTTGATGATGCTGATGTTTGTTGTTTCCTGGAATTGGATTAACGCGACTCGATTTGGCTATGGAGAGCTTTTACAAGTTGTAATGCATATCCCAAAAACACGAACCCAAACCGTCCTCAAATCGGTTTGATGATGCTGATGTTTGTTGTTTCCTGGAATTGGATTAGCGCGACTCGATTTGGCTACGGAGAGCTTTTACGAGTTGTAATGCATCGCCCAATAATCACGACAAAAAATGACAGCCATGCCATATCGAATCGTATTAAAATCCCACTCAATCCAACCGAATTGTTCAACTCTGCTGCAGCAATTCCAAACTTTTCAACCTCCTTTGTAAATGACATGTATGTACAAACCTGCACTAGATTTGCAACGAGCCAATAAAACAACTTGAATATGCCACTTTTCGATGTCACATATTTACAAATTCAATCGGTTACGCTTGCGCTAGGAGCTAGCCTCCAAAATTTTGTTGTTGTTGTTGTTGTTGTTGGTGCAAAGCTAACGAATGAAATCACATTCACAATGGCGCTTAAATGAACGTTGCGTGAAATGCTCTCCGGAAAGGTCGCGATTGATGACGGGAAAAGATTTCGCATACCGTCAATTATTTGCCTTTCAGTGCCAGAAGGCAGTCGTTCAATATGAAGAGGTTAGCGCCGAATTAATCGCGCTGGTCTGTGGAAATAACAGATTCGACGTTTTACATCGATTCTTAATCATCGGAGTATAAAAGCACAGTCAAGGTGTTCGCGTGTCTGGTGTGCGCTAATGGCCCATAAAAACAGTAGTCCCTCCTGGAAAAAGTCATCGGCACACATAGTAAACGCCCTAACGGGTTCGACTTGCAGGTGCCCTCCGTCTAAAGGTGTCAGGTGTGTGTTTGTGTGTGTGTTTGGTTACCTGTAGGCACACGTGTTTCACAGCTCCATTGCAAACTTGGCATTTTGTCATCAGAAGGAGGTTGCTGCACAAGCTGCAATTCTTCTGCTCCTTATCGGCCAATAATGACTTCCATACGTTTTAATCTGGAGCATACAAAAAAAAGGTGGGGAATTCACTGAAACAAAAAGAAGAAGGAAATCTGCGGATGAGCTTCTGTTAAGTGTCTCCATATGTCCAGCGCCTGCAATGGGGAACAAGGGTCCGGCGCTTTTTTTTTGTGGTGTCGAGGGGGGGTGTAAAGGCAGGAGGTTCTTTTTGACTTCTATGACTTCTCCCCCACATGCTGACAAGCGGAGTCAGATAAAACACAGAGATGTGGAAAGGATCACCCAGGTGGAACCTGATCCTTTTCTTTCACCTCCGGTGCCGGCTCGACTCGGTTGCAGAACGGGCAGAAGATACAGTGGCTTCCTGTTCAGCCCTTTGACGATACTTTAATGCGAAAGATTTTGTCATCTCAGCACTTCTTGAACACCAGGACACTTTATGGTGCTCTATTTTTCCAACTGGCCCCTCTTTGTTAGCTTGCATGAATTTATGATCCCATCGACGGTAAAATGTATTTTCACTTTTGCCCACCTGGTCTGACTCGCTTTTGTTCAAACATTTGGCCCGGATTTGCTCAAAGAATTACAACCGAGCAGGTTTTAAATCGCATGCCGACAGTTTGTGGCGCGGGGCCACTGGAGGCGGGGGCGATATGATGTGATGGATGAGTGGCCTTCACATCATGGGCCCCCATTTACCAGTGGGAAAAGTGCAAGGGAAAGGAAAATAATCGACGTTACGTGCGCAGGCAGGAGAGACACGCGGGAGACACATGAGGGCTCGCAAAGCACGCAGACACAAACAATGGGCCCCAGGGGCCGTGACCCGGACCTCAGATACCCGCTGCAAAAGGGAAGAATATATACATACATGCACATGTGTTAATAGTCATTTAATCAAACTTTAAGGGCCATTCTGGGATACCTCTCATTTCTTCGAAACATTTTCCTCATTGGAAATAATGAAGACAAGAATAGAACAAGTCAGTCTTGATCATCAAAGCTTTTAAACGCTGTGTTAACGGGACAGGTAACATATATGATTGAACATCTGACATTGTCATACAATTCTAAAATCCGTATTCGGTTTGGCCAGTTAGCTTGGGCTAAGCGTCTCGTCGTTCCAGCGTCAAACATTGCTAACTCCCGACGTGCTAGCAGCGAATGTCATGACAAAGGCTTTCATGCGCTACCTAAGATGGGCTTCAGTCACTCATTGATTCAAAGTTGAACATGATGCTGATTCGCCGGCTCAACATTCCCATACATGCGCCAACACTTCTGGGGGTGGTGAGCGTATGTCAGACAACGCTGTGAACACCACACACGCACTATGTCAACCAAAAATATTTTACATAATGTACGCCCCCTCCCCCGCAGATGCTGATTCGCCGGCTCAACATTCCCATACATGCACCAACACTTATGGGGGTGGTGAGCGATAGAGTCAGAAACTTTTCTAATCACTTTTCTGGTTTCAGGGTCCTGTTGGCCCACATGGAAGCCCCGGTCGACCCGGACCTCCTGGATTGAAGGTATGGTATTGATATGCTAACAGTTAGTTTAATGTCTTCCATATTCTTTTTAACTAAAGCCACAGAAGCAAAAGTACATTTGTAGTACTGTGGTTCATATGGGTGATTTTCACGCAACCGGCTTGGGATCAATTTTCTGTCCATTGCCCCTGCGATTGAGTGAATTGAGCTGTTCAGTCAGCTGGTATAGTTTTGGTGTAACTCTGAACAGCAAAGTCAGTATTAATATTGTGTTTGACGGTGGGAGCAGCATCAGGTAATAATAATTGCTGCGTGGGAAGCCCAACATTCAGAAGAAGCCTTTTGCTTCCTTGAGCAATGGTCTGGAAAATCATTTGTTGATTAAATGTTCATTTTTCAATGGAATTTTGGTTAGCAGAGAGTTCTCTACAGTAATTAGTTTTCATCTCGAAAATGTCATGTCCCCGCAAAAAGCTGGAGTTGTCAAGTGGAAGGTGATATGTACATGCACAACAATTAAGAAAATTCGGAAACATGTCTTAAGTGTTAATCATGCGATCATCACATGAAAGCAGATTGGTGACAATCCAGTCCAACGTCAGAACACACTCCCGCCCAAATTGCAGAGGAATCGACCTTCTACCCTGAGGAACCTCACTCCAATCACTACCATGCATAACTAATTATCCCGCTCAAGCACCGAAACATTTCCAGTTCATCATCACCAAAATTACGCAATAAGCAGTGAATCGATGAAGCCGATCCATCACGACCAAATTTTTCTTCACCCCACATGATAAAATCCGAGTTGAATTCATTGAAAAATTGTGCCAAGCAAAGCCTTTCACGTTATGATTTTTGCATATGCGAACAAAAAAGGCGCCTGACAATAGAAAGAAGCGACTGTTTTGGTCATCGTAACTTCACATGTATTCTTTACGGTACTCGTTGAGTCCGCTGACTCTTATTGAGGTCAAATCCCCCCCACACTGAGCAACTCTTCTCGCTCCCTTAAAAAGCCTCTTGTTTCTTTTCGGGTGAAGCGAGCAGCCTCGAGTGGGCCCAGACTCATTTACAATTGCTTGACATCAGCATGCATTGCAGCTTGGATTTGTTAAGAAAGCAGTTTGCTCGGAATAATATGTCAAGCTGATGTCACGGGGGGGGACTAGTGCATGTTATACTTTCCTGGAATGAGAGGTGTTTCTATGTCAGGTAAATCGATTAAACCGCGCTGGTTTTCCACCGCATATGCCACCGTGGTCATCAACGCATGCCATCACGCCATAACTCAACCCGCGGTCGAACCGCTGACTCCGCAACCCGAGAGTAGATGGTGAGCTAGCCGAGATTTGTTTTGCGGATGTTATCTGATCTGGATGTAACGATGATAAATTGCGACAAGACGATGTTCAGTCACTCACTACTGTGAACTGTCTGACCATTACAACTGACACGGAGAAGAAAATGGAGATAAATAATGCCGGGAGGGTACGATTGCAGCGAGGCGTTTGAAAAGAAGTCACGACGTTTTGCGCTGAAATCTTTCTACGATTCAGTTGGAAAAAAAACTAAACAAAACGATGTCTGTACAGTATGTTGTTTCTCTTGGCTGGAGATCGGCTCCCCGCAATCAAGCTGGACAAAATTCTCACAGACATTTCATGGCCAAGTTTTGGCTGATACGGACATGGAAAGGAAGCGATACAGTGTTGGTGTCAACTTGTTCCATGTTTGATGAGACTGCTTGGTTTAAAGGCAACATATGTACTCATTGAAAAATGAGTATAATGATATGCAAGATACCCCCCCCCCCCCTACATCTAAGCCAGTGATGTCAGCTCTCCCCCATGGATCTCTTGCAGTAGAAATGTCCAGGCTGTTTTCTCCCTTTGGTGCGATTAGACACCACACGCTGACCCAGAATGCACCGAGTAGTCCCGCTGCCCGAAAAGGGAGAAGAATGTTCCGCAGTCGCTCCTTGAAACCTCCTTGGTGTAAACCGAGTTCCTGGAGGGCATAAATGGCCCGCACGCTCGTGTAAATATACCAAAAAGAAGGATGACCTCATTACTTGCTGATAGCGTGAATGCAAACAAAGTGTCTCGGGGCTATGGGAGTGAGTGAGTGCTTTGGGGATGAAGAGAAAGCGCAGTACACTGTAGAAAATGACTCAATTTTTCTCTTCCAGGGAGAAAAAGGTGATCCCGGTCTGTCTCTTGGGCAAGCCCCGGAAGGACAAAAAGTATGTAGCGCCTTCCAAAGAGATTGTCCAAGATACATGACATAGAGCAGCTTGCTGTAACTTTTTTTTTTATTCCAGTACAAAGAGCCCACTTGCTTGAAAATTATCATTCAAGGATGGCACAAAACTGCTTAGCAACAAACCAACATTAAGTGCAATCACGTATTTTGTCCTTTTTTTTTTTTTTAACAAAAATCAACTCACTCAAAATGTTAATATTATTGTGTTACTACTTTGTCTTATATATCATTCCAATTCCGTCCCCCAAAATTGATTTGGCTTACTCACATTAAAGTATTTGGCAGTATAAGACCCAGTGAAAGTACAACTAAGTCATGTCTGCCATCTAGTGGTTCATGGTGATATTACAACAAAGTCGGCACCCTCGGATTCACATTGATGGAGAGTTTTACAATATAATTTTTTAACATTTTGGATTTACTGAGGTTTTTTCACGAGATATTTAAAAAACTTAATTTTCTCAATTTATTGGTAAAAAATGCATCGTAAATGCTAATTAGAGAATATGTTGGGTTTGTAAAAAAAATAAAAATAAATAAACAATTCAGAAAAATCACTGGTCCCTTTGTGATCAGTTATTTCACCAATCAGCTTTTGGACTATACCCATAGAAATTTGGGCAGGAGGTGAGGCATAGAATCTTTATCCTCCGCAAAGAGCGGTTGATATTTTTGCAGCTGTCTGAGAATATGTGACCCACTTTGTTCTCGCAGGGAGAGCCTGGTGCCAAAGGCCATGCTGGACCGCCTGGCCAATCTGGGCGAAAGGTAGGACGCATCTGTTTCATCTCACAATCTGTTTAGGTTTGTGCAAGCAGGAAGGCATCTGTAACTTGTTACAGGCCCATATGTGTGATATTGTGTCTTTTCAGCAGACATCTGATTAACAAGTCTTCTCCCTGCTCCTCCTCCTCCTCCTCCCCTAGCCCTGATCTGATTTGGAATGACTATTTCAGAGGCAAAAAAAAATGGATGTTAGGCTTGTTGCTTGGAACGTGGCGCATCCAGCGGCACACCTGTGTTCTGGATTCACTGTACTTAGGACATCTGCAAGTCAGATTTCAAGCTCACGGTGTGATAGGCGCTTCATTTGACTCGGCGATATTAACATACATTCCCTCAAAATGAGTTGTCGGTCCAATTTTAGTGCCGTCCTGCACGCTTTTCGCTGTGATTCTTTACATGCTACGTGTCAACCTGTCACAGCGATGATGATGAGCAGTGAACTCTTCTGCTCAAGACCTTGTGCTTTGGATTGTAGCCTTGGCCTCTATCTGGGATTCGGCTTTCTGGAATCCCACAGCCTAAGTAATTTCCAATACTAACCCGTCCCCCCGGGTTATCCATTGATTTGTTACCCAAATGGATAGAAAGGAAGTTGTAAACACCGACACCTGATGCGCAATATGCATCATACATTAGGAAGCGTTGAGCCACGCTACAGTCAAATACAGTCAGCGTTTAATGGACTGGTACGGATTAAAATCAACATTGTGGTGGCAGTATTATTACTATATAATATATTACTTTAATAGACAGTGAAAAGCTTTGCCTTGGGAATTCTTTGCCAACTTAATGCTAACACATGATTGAAAACGCCATTGATCGGCTTAAGCATAACCATGATAGTCATGGTGTTATGACTCGATGAGAAACTCAAATTTGAACACAAACAGTAGAGAAAGACATCTACACACACAATAGCACAAGGCATGTATTCTTTATCCTCTGAAAAAGAAAAGCGAGCAACTAATATCGCAGCTTACTGAAGCACTGAGAACAGGAGTGATTCTTCTTTGTGTCTGTACGACTGTATTGTACTGGCCGACTGTGACCAAGGCGAGAACTCCGAAAGGAGCAGTGTAACGAATCGACTTGTAGCATTAAATCATGATGCATAACGCTTGACATTCTATTTACTTCGGTTCTTACTCTACATTTTTAAAAACTTTATTTTCCTTGTAAAAAAAAACAAAAAAAAAAACACTTGGCAAACATTCCAGTTTTCTAGTGGGTGGGATTGGAGCAGATTCATGGCATTCCCGTTCATTTGAGATCCACGTGTTTTGAGTTACAAGTGCGGTCATTAAACTGCTATCTAAAGGCACAACTGTACGATAACGTTATCTGTGGTACAGCTGCACGCCGTCTGTCACAAGCACTGATTTGCGTGGTCGAGTTGACAAAAAAAAGTGGGGTAGCCAAATACGGGGAAGCCGAGAGTGCGGCAGTCTCAAAAATGTATTGATTAAAAAAAAAAAAAAAAAAACAGGCAAGCAAGCTGTGAAATAGAATCAAAATCGCAAAAACTCACGACAAAAGGCCCGTGCAGAATAACTTTGGGTTAAAAAAAAAAAAAAAAAAAAAAAAACAGGCGAGCAAGCTGTGAAATAGAATCAAAATCGCAAAAGTCACAAAAACTCACGACAAAAGGCCAGTGCAGAATAAATTTGGCCTGAATCTGTATCCATACACTATTATTGGCACATAAATTGCATGTATGATGCATCCAACCCATCTATTTTCCAAAGCACTTCTCCTCATTGGGGTCGCCACTGAGCTGGAGCCTTTTCCAGCTGCTCCGCACGAAATTGGCCAATTTCACCATAACAGCTATATAACCAGCAAAAGAAAAAGCATGCTACATATGCACTGCCAAATCACATAAGTGGGCCTCGTTCAGCTCGCCAAATTCCCGATACCCTGGATCCAATGGTGCTCAACACCAAGAAATGAACGAGTGCTTTGCCTTAAACCCTCAAGACTCTCAGATGATCCCCACTGACTCCGGCTGGAACGTTATGACCGTCGTCTCCAAATAATGTGAATGTAAAACTTTTCATATGTGTGTGTGTTTTTTTTTAATGTGGGTTCTTAGAAACAGCAAGAAAACGATACTGGGCCTGTGAGTGCCAAAATTGTTGACGTTCATCTGGCGGTATCGTCTTACTTTGGAGGAATCCGCCCTAAATTTACTTACTTGTGCAGCCAGAGTAGCTCCTGAGATCTACAGCGACCCTGTTCAGGATGAGCGGTGTTGAAAACGGATGGATGGATGGATGTTATCGTTGCTTTGAGGAGCCACTACGTGCACCGTGTCGTGACTGATTAAATTGGATTCGAGTTGCATTTTTAAAATATACGCCTGCTCTCCACGGGGATAAAGATTCCTTATCAATACGCCAAAAAGGTCACAGGAAGGTCAGGGAGTCTGTCGGAAAAGCGCACACTCACATGATATGAATCATAGAAGATATCTCAATGTGTTATGCATGTAAAACTTTTCATATGTGTGTGTGTGTTTTTTTAATGTGGGTTCTTAGAAACAGCAAGAAAACGATACTGGGCCTTTGAGTGCCAAAATTGTTGACATTCATCTGGCGGTATCGTCTTACTTTGGAGGAACTCGCCCTAAATTTACTTACTTGTGCAGCCAGAGTATCTCCTGAGATCTACAGCGACCCTGTTCAGCATGAGCGGTGTTGAAAACGGATGGATGGGTGGATGTTATCGTTGCTTTGAGGAGCCACTACGTGCACCGTGTCGTGACTGATTAAATTGGATTCGAGTTGCATTTTTAAAATATACGCCTGCTCTCCACAGGGATAAAGATTCCTTATCAATACGTTCAAAAGGTCACAGAAAGGTCAGTGAGTCTGTCGGAAAAGCGCACACTCACATGATATGAATCATAGAAGATATCTCAATGTGTTATGCAATCAAATAGTGCTGCAGACTGTAACCAACCCCCCCAACCCCACTCGCCTCCCCCCCAAAAAAAAAGTCTTCTTTTCCTCATGAGTCATAGAACATGTAGTCATGGGAAAAACGCTGATCTACTTCCTGATCGTTTATGGTAATCTCTCTCTTGCAGGGCGTTGTCTGACAGTCTGGCTCAAGTCCGGACACATCTGGGTTAAACCTTGTCACGCGCGTTAAAGCCGCAACTGCAAATAGCGCATTCAAAATTCACGTTTGAGTCCAGTGAATTAAAGAGATGCAATCACCTCGCATCGAGGCCATCAGACACCTCATCACACACAGCTGCACTCAACTCACTCCTTTTGCAAATCATCTGGGTCACATTCCAGCTGCGGGAGCCAGAAAAGAAAAAAAAAACAACAAAACAACTTTACTCAGCACGTTCTATTCACATGTCGCAAAAATTCCATCAATTGCCCCTCATGTGGTTCATTCTCATAGAGTTGATTATACTTGGATACATGAAAACGCTTGAAGCTCAATCATCCTTTGTCAGGGGTATCAAACTCAATTTTGTCGCGGGCCACATTGTAGTTACGGTTTCCCTTCGTGGGCCGTTACGACTATGAATTTTGTGAAACCATATAAATATTGAAGCACCTCCACACATGGCAGGCTATTGGAACTCTCGAAATTGTCTCTAGGTGTGAGTGTGAATGGTTGTTTGTCTTTGTGTGCCCTGCGATTGGCTGGCAACCGGTTCAGGGTGTCCCCCGCCTACTGCCCGAAGACGGCTGGGATAGGCTTCAGCACTCCCTGCGACCCTTGTGAGGATAAGCGCGTTAGAAAATGAATGGATGGACATCTGTTAGCCACTGTCACATTATGCATTCATTATCACGGAGCATAAGAACATTAAAAAAAAAACAAAAAACGAAAAAACTGCATTCATGATTCACTTCAACTGGATTGCGCAAAAAGTTGAATAGAAATGAGACTTGAATAAGTGAAATCGTAGTTTCTGCTTAATTTGACTAACGAAGGGACTGACTACCAAACCAGCAACTGTCGGCACACAGCCAGCTCGTTCCTTCATACGGTCTTTTGATGAGCTTCAGAATGTTTTCTCCAGTCTTGCATTATTATTTTTTTTAATTACATTTTTTTTTGTGGGGGTGAAAAGAAATTATGTTGGCGGGATATTCCGTGATTCATTTTGTTGAGAACATAAACTGTCAATGTTTTGTCTTTCCCTCCTCTCCAAAAAGTGTGCGTGCACTGGATTGCATGATTGTATGTGTCATCACCCTCAAACACAATGGCGAGTTTGGGAGGAAGTCCCCCAAACTCCTTCGACAACAAAAATGACATTCGAATTCCATCACTTGGCAGGAGTCACGCTCTGTAAAATGATGACCCACCGCAATTTCCCTGACATCTTTTTGCCGATTCTTTTTTTTTTTTTTAATCTCTTTGGCCGACCGGCTGTCTCGGGGCCAGAGAAAGCCCCTCGGTCTCTCCAGAGAATTTAAAGGTTGCCTGGGAGGCAGTCAGCGCTGTAAAGTGACACTTGTGTGGAGTATTAAGCAGCTCTGGGCTGCTGTGATTTTTTTTCCTTCTCTCGCCGGCTCTGAGTATGGTGGAGCACTGGAAAAGAAGCACTTAAGATGTGATTCTTTGTGGCGAAATAGCACGCTCGCAAATGTCATTTGCCGAGTAAGCATTCTAAGCCCTTTTCTTTTTCAAAAGGTTTCTTATGGTACGTGTACGATCGTCTGCTGACGAATCTTGATTGTGGTTATTTGGTTTCCTCAGAAGAACTCATTTACACCCCCCCCGCCCCCCGATTTTTAAATCAAAGCAGATTGGAAAAAAAATTGATAAAAAACATCACGCCTTTGACTGTCAAAGGCGTGATGGTGGATTAGAATAAAGTTTAGATCCTCCCTAATGGGTTTGTTGCGTCAAGACGGTGACTTAAGACGAGCGTTATAATCACTTGAGTGATTAATGAAGTGTTCGGAATTAGCTCGATGGTGCGGAACAGACCGTAGATGAATCGTGTCTTGAAGCAAACGTTCGCAAAATGGAGTGCAGCGCTGTTGAGATGACATCAGCTATGCTGAGTTGAAAGATGGCCGCGAGAACTCCTCTGAAAAGTTTGAAAGCTCAACTAAAATATAAGTCTTCTCCTTCCGGCACGTCCCTATTCAGGGGTCGCCACAGCGAGTCAGTAATTTCCATCCGCCCCTGTAAACCGTCCTACCAACTCGCATAGTCGTCTTGGCAAAAGTTTTACGCCGGATGCCATTCCTGACGCAACCCTCCCCATTTCTCCGGGCTTGGGACCGGCACTGGGGAACAGTGCACCCCCAGGGGAGGGCACTGTCCCCCAGCGGCTGGGTTGAAAGCTCAACTAAAATATAAGAAAAAAAAAAACTCTCACGTGTGACGTGACTCGAAGCCTCAATACTTTCATCGCTCAACAATTTTGCCATGATTCAAAATTGGAAATGTCCCGCATGTCACAACAGTGCAGCTTCACAGTTTGAATTTGGAACGTGCAAGACCGGGAACTTTTTGGTTGAGCTTTGCATTCTGGGAATCTGAAGAGATTTGGAAACGTCGGATCGGTTCGAACCGGTAAAGAAATGCGGATGGAGTCGAACGGTTAAAATTGGCAAAATAATGATGAAAAAAAGGGTTGTACGATTGACCACTTTTCGAGTGTTTGAAGACGGGAACGACTCTTCTGTCACAATGCAACAACGCGATTAGTTTGAAACGCTGTCCAAGCGCAAGACGGCTCACTGAGCCAATGTGAAAAGTCATATCAGTGCATATTTTATTGGCAGTGCTCTGCTCATTTTATCAGGAAATAGCAACATTGGGAAATTCCAAAGCGCATAGTTCACTTACATACCGTCTCACCATTTTTTTTGTTTTTTTGGGGGGGGGTCAACAGGGGCTAAGAGGTCATCCTGGCCCTGCTGGTCTGCCTGGGGAACCTGTGAGTATTTCTTTTTCCTGATTTTTTTTTCTCGTGTACACATCATGAATTTTAACATCTTAACTGATTTTGAGAACACGACCCAACCCACGCACTCATTTTATCAGGAAATAGCAACATTGGGAAATTCCAAAGCGCATAGTTCACTTACATACCGTCTCACCATTTTTTTTGTTTTTTTGGGCGGGTCAACAGGGGCTAAGAGGTCATCCTGGCCCTACTGGTCTGCCTGGGGAACCTGTGAGTATTTCTTTTTCCTTATTTTTTTTTTCTCGTGTACACATAATGAATTTTAACATCTTCATTGATTCTGAGAACACAACCAAACCCACGCGTAAGTAGGAAAAAAATAATCATTAAGTGCGTGCGTACTGATTTTATGAGGCCTGATTTACTCAAGTGTGCAAAAGACAGGCACAAACTTGACTTCATGCGTAACGGGCGCAACTGGGAGTGCATCTGCCAAATGTGCGAAATTGCCCAGCAGTTCATTTTGTGCATTGTGGGAGGAGCATTGCATATGCTCCTCCCACTAACGGGAAGTAGCGTGTCAAAGTACAAACCAGCACGCGAGGTGGTGCCTACGTAGCACAGGCAAAAAAAGAGAGCCGAGAGAGATAACTTTTACTCTTCTGAAAACATTTTTGAAATGCCAGAAACAACAATGATCACGCTGGGAGGAGGAAAAAAACAAACACAAAACTTTTGACACCACAAGATAATTATTCAGAACAATTTAAACAGGAATATGCCTCAATCAGGCCCAAAGTATGAACCTGTGGAGTGTTTCACGCATTATTTATTAATTTTTTTAAGTTGTGAATATATTCCAAAACTCACTGCACGGTCTATAAAAACGACTGTGTTTTATTTGTCGATACAAATCAGGATGCGAGCGGGGATATTAAGCGAGACACATCAGCTATCAGTTGTTCAGGAATTTTGGCCTGAGAGAGAGAGAGAGAGAGAGAGAGAGAGAGAGAGAGAGAGAGAGAGAGAGAGAGAGAGAGAGAGTCACTGTTGGCAAGCACACAAGTGGGCTAAATCGGTCGGACACCAGAGGCTAGTTGCAGCACTCCCACACTCCCAAATCTTGTGCAATCTCCCCCGCTAATTAACTTCCTTCCTGCCTGCGAGCTTTGGATGCAGGGCCGACCGGCTGTCTCGGGGCCAGAGAAAGCCCCTCGGTCTCTCCAGAGAATTTAAAGGTTGCCTGGGAGACAGTCAGCGCTGTAAAGTGACACTTGTGTGGAGTATTAAGCAGCTCTGGGCTGCTGTGATTTTTTTTCCTTCTCTCGCCGGCTCTGAGTATGGTGGAGCACTGGAAAAGAAGCACTTAAGATGTGATTCTTTGTGGCGAAATAGCACGCTCGCAAATGTCATTTGCCGAGTAAGCATTCTAAGCCCTTTTCTTTTTCAAAAGGTTTCTTATGGTACGTGTACGATCGTCTGCTGACGAATCTTGATTGTGGTTATTTGGTTTCCTCAGAAGAACTCATTTACGCCCCCCCCGCCCCCCGATTTTTAAATCAAAGCAGATTGGAAAAAAAATTGATAAAAAACATCACGCCTTTGACTGTCAAAGGCGTGATGGTGGATTAGAATTAAGTTTAGATCCTCCGTAATGGGTTTGTTGCGTCACCGGGTGTCAAGACGGTGACTTAAGACGAGCGTTATAATCACTTGAGTGATTAATGAAGTGTTCGGAATTAGCTCGATGGTGCGGAACAGACCGTAGATGAATCGTGTCTTGAAGCAAACGTTCGCAAAATGGAGTGCAGCGCTGTTGAGATGACATCAGCTATGCCGAGTTGAAAGATGGCCGCGAGAACTCCTCTGAAAAGTTTGAAAGCTCAACTAAAATATAAGAAAAAAAAAACTCTCACGTGTGACGTGACTTGAAGCCTCAATACTTTCATCGCTCAACAATTTTGCCATGATTCAAAATTGGAAATGTCCCGCATGTCACAACAGTGCAGCTTCACAGTTTGAATTTGGAACGTGCAAGACCGGGAACTTTTTGGTTGAGCTTTGCATTCTGGGAATCTGAAGAGATTTGGAAACGTCGGATCGGTTCGAACCGGTAAAGAAATGCGGATGGAGTCGAACGGTTAAAATTGGCAAAATAATGATGAAAAAAAGGGTTGTACGATTGACCACTTTTCGAGTGTTTGAAGACGGGAACGACTCTTCTGTCACAATGCAACAACGCGATTAGTTTGAAACGCTGTCCAAGCGCAAGACGGCTCACTGAGCCAATGTGAAAAGTCATATCAGTGCATATTTTATTGGCAGTGCTCTGCTCATTTTATCAGGAAATAGCAACATTGGGAAATTCCAAAGCGCATAGTTCACTTACATACCGTCTCACCATTTTTTTTGTTTTTTTGGGGGGGGGTCAACAGGGGCTAAGAGGTCATCCTGGCCCTACTGGTCTGCCTGGGGAACCTGTGAGTATTTCTTTTTCCTTATTTTTTTTTTCTCGTGTACACATAATGAATTTTAACATCTTCATTGATTCTGAGAACACAACCAAACCCACGCGTAAGTAGGAAAAAAATAATCATTAAGTGCGTGCGTACTGATTTTATGAGGCCTGATTTACTCAAGTGTGCAAAAGACAGGCACAAACTTGACTTCATGCGTAACGGGCGCAACTGGGAGTGCATCTGCCAAATGTGCGAAATTGCCCAGCAGTTCATTTTGTGCATTGTGGGAGGAGCATATGCAAATGCTAACAGGAAGTAGCGTGTCGAAGTACAAACCAGCACGCGAGGTGGTGCCTACGTTGCACAGGCAAAAAAAGAGAGCCGAGAGAGATAACTTTTACTCTTCTGAAAACATTTTTAAAATGCCAGAAACAACAATGATCACGCTGGGAGGAGGAAAAAAACAAAAATAAAACTTTTTACACCACAAGATAATTATTCAGAACAATTTAAACAAGAAAACGCCTCAATCAGGCCCGAAGTACGAACCTGTGGAGTGCTTCACGCATTATTTATTAATTTTTTTAAGTTGTGAATATATTCCAAAACTCACTGCACGGTCTATAAAAACGACTGTGTTTTATTTGTCGATACAAAGCAGGATCCGAGCAGGGATATTATATGCCAGAAACAACAATGATCACGCTGGGAGGAGGAAAAAAACAAAAATAAAACTTTTTACACCACAAGATAATTATTCAGAACAATTTAAACAAGAAAACGCCTCAATCAGGCCCGAAGTACGAACCTGTGGAGTGCTTCACGCATTATTTATTAATTTTTTTAAGTTGTGAATATACTCCAAAACTCACTGCACGGTCTATAAAAACGACTCTGTTTTATTTGTCGATACAAATCAGGATGCGAGCGGGGATATTAAGCGAGACACATCAGCTATCAGTTGTTCAGGAATTTTGGCGGGAGAGAGAGAGAGAGAGAGAGAGAGAGAGAGAGAGAGAGAGAGAGAGAGAGAGAGAGAGAGAGAGTCACTGCTGGCAAGCACACAAGTGGGCTAAATCGGTCGGACACCAGAGGCTAGTTGCAGCACTCCCACACTCCCAAATCTTGTGCAATCTCCCCCGCTAATTAACTTCCTTCCTGCCTGCGAGCTTTGGATGCACATGTGAGCGACATGCTGACGCCTTTGAAATGGATGCATGCAGACGACAGGTTTTGTCGTCTTTTTGCTTGATCTCAAATGAAGTGCCATTATTATGCAGAGCGTAAAATCACATTCAGGAGTGCGCCAGCCATAATAAATGGGAGCGATGTTGCTTTGAAATCCTAATAAAAATCATAATTTATTTTAAAAAAAATAAAACATTGGATTAGTGGCCAGAATGACATCCTGGCCCTCCCCAGGCAGCACTCGAATCTTTAATTTGATGTTAGAGGGATTGTATCATCAATTTTAAATAGCTTTTTTTGACTCGACTGACGAGCGATTATCACATTCCTTATTTTTATTGAACAATGAACGGTTTGTCGTTCCAAAAATGCACTCAGACTGTTTTTTTTGTTTTGCTTTTACATCATACAATATCATTCCGCTCTTTTTATTGCACATAAATGATTCCGCTCCAGCTGCACTTGTGGCTATTTAATAAGAAAACATTCAGAATTTAGTAAACAGTACAGCTTGTTTTGGGATTCTTCATGCAACTGCTTCATAAAGTCATCTCCTTTGGAAGTTTGCGGTTAATTTCAACAGGATTCCCCGGCAGTTTTTTGCTGCGGAGAAATCGACTGATTTATGGGCTATTATTTGAATTTTAATTGCGAAAGTATTCATCACAAATAATCTGTACGTAGCGCAGATGAATTCCACGTTATTATGCACGTTAAAGATCAAACGCTGTTCATCAGAGCGGCACGTTATCTTTGTAAAGGCAGAATATTTGAATTGGGTCTTGTTATGTGTCTTTCAACTACGATAAACTGAAGCACCAATGCTTGTTTTTTTTTTTTTATAGGCAGTGATTACAGACCAATGTCAAATTATACTTTAGTCGCCCTTCACTCAGCGTTGTGACGCCGCCTCGGCCGGCATTGGCTCGACTTTAACAACACGGCTTTTACGATGTCGTTTGCATGTCGATCCCTAACGGCTGCAATTGTTTTATTCTCATAAGACCTTTTTCCATCCCGTTCCTCCAACGAGTGTGGCTCCAACTCAAAACACACACGCGTGTTAAATAAGAGGATGCGTCCTTCCTCGGATTTACCTCCTTCCTCGTGTCTCCTTTGCGCTGATCTCTCTTTCATTCCTTCTCTCCAAAGGGCAAGCGGGGAGCAGACGGAAGCACCGGGGTCAAAGGTTATCCTGGCAGGCAGGTGCAGTGAATCTAGTCTTGCAGGGTTGGCTTGGCAGGGCCATACACACACACACACACACACACACATACGCGGGCACATGGAAACACACACTTTGCGCTTGAGCAGAGCACACACACACACACACACACACACACACACCCACACACCCCCACACACACACACACACACACACACACACACACACACACACACACACACACACACACACAAGGTAAAGCAACGACTCCCCCTAAATACTTTCATCAACTGAAATAATAAATTGCTCGAGAAAATTCAGACGGTTGGATCCACAAACACACGTTGGTGATATTTTGTTTTCCATTCAGGGTTTTCCCGGGCCTAAAGGTGATCCGGGGCCAAAGGGAGTCAAGGTGAGTTCAATGCCAGGATCAAACACACGACGAGTGCATTAAGACGCATCTTATTGTCATGGAATTTGCGCGGGTGCACCAGGATCGACTTGAATGAGGTCCTTGTGTAATGTCTGTTTCTCCACCGAGCAGGTCGGGCAGAAAGGTCATCGGAGATTCTTGACGCGAGGGTATGTGCCCTTGGACTACATCGTGGAAGCCAGCACCATGCAGTCCATGGGCATATACACTGGCCTCAAGACCTCGCTCGTCTTGAACAGCGTCTAAAAATTCCCAGCCAAAGATGCGCTTTCCTACTTGTGACGTTGCCCAACCTTGCTGTCCTTAATCTCTTTAGGGGCCGATCGGCATCCCGGGGCTCTTTGGTCGGCCTGGTCTTGATGGCGAGAGAGTGAGTGTCTGTGGTATTGCGCTCAAAGAGCCAAGAGATGAAATTCACACATTTCCAATTTGTTCGATTGCACAGGCAAGGTGCAAAGGTGCAAAATTAGCCCAGCTCCCGCTGGGAAATTGGATTGAGTGTGATCCAAATATTTTAAACGCCTTCTGAATCGATTTTGCACGAATGAATGAGGATCGGTCCTCATTGGCTACAGCACAGTATATGTCGTTTTCTATTTATTTATTCATTTTTGTTTCCCCAAATTCTGAACCATTGGCGTAAGATTTTTGGCTCGCATAAAAGTGCATTGTCATAATTAAGACGTTGGTGTGAGCAAGTCGATCCCTTTTCCAAGAACCCTAAAAAAAAAGTTCGGTATTTCATGATTAAAAAAAAAAATACATCACAGACAATTAGATACATTTTCACATCCAAAAAAAAAGACGCTATTCATATAAACATAATATATTTGATTGACAGTTCAGCACAATGTAGTTTTCATCTTATTTTCTCTTAATTATAATTTTTTTAAATCTAGCAATGTGACATTATGCACAGTTGAAACATGAACGAGGCATAATATTACTTAAAACCGACTTCAAAAGAATTCAATTATTGCCCAATTAGGTAAAATAGTACCCAGATGTTCAAAAACAAGCATTTCGAAATGATCAATTGCTAATGCGTTGCACTTCAAAGTTAAATACAACTGAACCAAATGTTGTGTACCATTGTTCTTTTTTTTTTTTTAAATAAATAAATGGAATCCATTGCAAAATCAAATTTTGTGTTTCTTTCACATAACACGAGAGGGAATCCATTTTGCTCACTTGTTTGATTGTTTGTTTGTTTTAGGGAATTCCGGGCGTTCATGGGAGGAAGGGCGAGATGGGTAGGCCGGTAAAGTTTTCTCTCAACACACTTTTCATCATCCTCATTTTCCAGAGCATCATTTTAGTCAAGCCATATTGTCAAGCTTTTTGAACCGATCACCTCGCGCGAACATCACAAGCGCGCGCGTCTCTTTTTCACGACGAGGCGAATAATGCCGAGAATGTTTTTATTGTACGGTCCTTTGCTTTTGTTTTCCAAGTGAAGTTCAAACACGCTTCTCCTGCAGTTTGAAGACACAGTCGGAAACGCAGGACGTCGCGCTTGTTTTTTCATTTGCATACTTCGCTAATACCAAGTGTCAGTTGTGGTTTTGGCCCCACGGCGCAAAGCCGGCCGCGCGCCAGGCAAAGTCTATCGTCGACGGCGCCGGGAAGTCAGCGTTCCATCCGCGAGGGCTTACATGGAAAATGGCGAGACCGCCGGTGAGCGCTCGTGTCAGCGTGATGGGTCCCGGCGGGCGAGTCGGGTCACGCGCTTCGGCGCGAACGCGGCGGCCAAAACGTCGGCCTCATCGTCGCCTTGCCATGAGTTATTTCTCTCTCCCAGTGAGCTCATTTGCTTTGCGTAATGCGCTTGGTTTTCCTTTCCCCGAGTCAGCAGAAGCGAGTGGCTCGCGCGCAAGGCGCAAGCGCGGACATATGCACGGTAGATGTGCCATTCTAAAACAATCAGGGTTGTTTTACGCTCAAATCTGCTGCTCATTAAATCAAGTGTCCAAATTAGAGACCGGCTGGAGTTTTTGAGGCGGATCCTCACATTTAAGAAAAAGAAAAAAAAAAAAACGCTTGCCAATTTGTTAAAGACTTGCATGTGTTTCTGATCAAACCAAGACATTTATTGGCATTTCTGGAAAGAGGCAACATTTTCCACATTTCCTGTGGGCTTCATGTTGCACCAATTACCGCTTATTGCTTGATGCACATCAGCCAAATGTTCCAGATCAGATGCACAAAGAAAGTCGAAGAAAAAAAAAAAAGCATCTTTTTTGAAATGAATTGAACCTCAGTCACCAAACTGAACACAGTACTGTACCTTTTTTTTTTTTTTTCCTCTTGGTCATCATTCTCGTCTTTCGCAGACGTGTGCGATGTTTCCTTGTGATGTGCGTGTTTACTTTGGCTTGCTGATGTGCATGCATCTTTTTTTGGGGGGGATGGGTGGGGGGGTTCTGCCTTCATAATGGAATCAGCAGCACCAGCCACAATTTAAAAAAAAAACAAAAACAAAAAAAAAACTGCACAGTATTTCATGGCTGAAAGGGCCAAGGAGTTTTATTTGACCGGTGGCTTCGGACGCGCACGCTATTGAAATTTCCTGCCAGTCTGTCAGAAATGAAGCATGGGGAGCGCATCTGATGGGATCTGCTCGGATTTAATTTGAACACGTCTTCACACTGAACGCGCAGTTGAATGAAACCATAACAGCAAGACAATGAAAAAGCCAGTCGGTGCCCCCCCCTCTACTTACATAACGACCTCGTCTGTCTGCTTAGGGATTTCCTGGCGACTTTGGAGAAAGAGGCCCCCCTGGTCCTGATGGCAACCCTGTAAGTACATGACGGCAAAGCTTCATGGATGATGTAGTCTATGTACTGCACCCTTCACATTGATAAAACGCACCGAGCGAGCAGGACTGTTCAAAATACAGTCCACGATAAGCATCCATCGCTCCGATTTTGCTTGTCCTCGTGAGAGTCACAAACAATCCCAGGGCACACATCAACAAACAAACCACCTGCGATTTATGAACAATCCGGAGTCTTCAATGAACTTAACATGCATCGTTTTGGTTCAAACTCAGAACCTCTCGACTGTAAAGCAGACGCGCTAACCGAGCGACATAGCGAATATTCTGGAGAAATTAAAATGAAAAGTAAATTAACCTTGCTGCAAGGTTGAACACTTATCAAACCTTAACTATGCAGAGCTGTGTTTGAACATTTTACCATTCTTAGCAGTCATACAACTGTATAAAAAGAAAGAAAAGAAAAGAAAAAAAAAGCACCTTCAATGCAACAGATTGCTGTGGAATCGTACAAAGCCAGTCACTCTCAGTGAAGATTGTTGTTCTTTTCTCTTTACCATTCCCCGTGGAGGCCGGATCTTTTTTGGGAATAGGTGTTGCGATACAGTCACAAATCGCCAAAGAAAACCTCCCCAAACGCGTGCAGAGCTAATTCTTTGATGCTGGCGGATCTTGGATCTTCTCAGGTATGCTGGAGGCCGTTTGGAGTTTGGTGCGAGTTAAGAGGAATATGGGACAACCTCGGGGGAGTTTTACGTTAGCTGTTCCAGTGTACTTGAGGAAAAAAAAAAATCAGTCGTGTCCTTGTTTTGACATGAAGCAATCGTCTTCGAAAGTTGGAAAGCGCAACATTCTTGTGTGGATAAAATCCCCAACAGACGGGGTTCCCGCTCAGGCCACTGGAATTACAGAATACTAATCGGAAGAAGCGTTGCCATTCGAGCAGTGACACTCATCGTATGCGGTGATGTGATGTCACTTGGGTTGCGTATGCGACCTGGCTACCAGATTTGGCTCTTCGGAGTCTCTGCGGTTCTGCTCAGTGGTTGAAACAATACTTGTGGGATTGGCTTCTTTGGTCGGCCATCTGTGGTCCATCAAGGGGGGAAGGACACTTGTGGAGATGAGGAATGGGGCCCCTTTGTCGGAATTAGCCCACGATGCTATCGTGCCGAACTGCCTGGTTGTTAAGCGTTACCGTCAGTGCCAAAGATGTTCCAACCCAAGAGACCTGAATTGAGGGCACAGCTCCTGAGTTCCGTAACGTGGTTTATCCCAGCTGGGACCAAATTCCCCTGTGGACGTTCAGTCTTATGTAGTCCCGATGCAACAACGCTCGCGTTCGTCCGAAGCGGAAGGCACCGTCCTAAGTTTTACTTCTCAGGATTGCCTGCCATCGCCTGAGGTCTGCTCGCCCCCCAGGTCTCATTTCCCGTCTGGAAGTAGGAAGTCGGTCACGTTTGGCTGCTTTCATCTCCTGTTGGACAACCGGAGGAGGTGACGGGAAGGCCACGCTGGGCCGCTTGTCATCCATCCCTCCGCCGAGTTGGGAGAGGATGTGGACATGGCATGCGAGCGCCGGGTTGATCACCAGGACAACAGAAGTCTCTGTGTGTCGCGCGCCAAGTGCTCAGGCAGCAGCGGGCTCAACCGAAACAAAACACCTGCGCAGAAATGCACTGGATTAACTTGCATAACCTTGGGTCAAATTTCGTCCTTCCCTTTTGTGTTTAAGGGCGACTTTGGAGCTCCTGGCCCACACGGAGTTCCTGGTCTTCTCGTAAGTATTTCAACTGGCCTAGCAGACAGTTTGACACTTTGAGATTTGAACTGCGGGGTTTCCTTATCTGTCTTTTGTGTGCGTTGTTTGTAAAGGGCGAGATGGGTCCTGCTGGCATGATGGGTTTACCGGGACCTCCGGGACTCAAGGTAAACACTGCACCGAGTCTCCGTGGTGATGAGATGTGGAAGGAGCACACTTTGGCTTGTTATTTCTTAGCCATTTGTCTTTTTGCTTCCAAGGGAGTGCCGGGAAACACCGGTGAACCTGGACTGAAAGGTGATCAGGTGATCTGCACATGTACTTCTCAGACTATTCGTCTTCAAAATCCTTTAAACCGGCCTAGTTTGCCAAACAACCGTAGTTACGCGATTATGTATTAGCCGTGTTGTTTGGTGTGTTGGACACTGCGGCCGGATTGCTTTTATCGGTCGTAAAATGTTTCGTTAAAGTAAGATCGGTACAAACAGATGGCTTTGACACCTTTGATGACTTCCACAGAGTTTCAGCATGTACCCCTATTGCTTTGCAGCCACAAAATGATCACGTGGTACCTGAAGTGTTGTCGAATCACCGTTATCTGGTTGTTTGCAACTAGTTTTACAGTGGCTGTGATTTATGCTCTGTAATGTATACAGCATATTTGGCAGTGAAGAGTTATGCGGGTTGTGGCGAGAAACTGCCCCTTAAAGCGCTAGTTGTGGTGCGTTGTGGTCGAAGGTCACTTTGAATTGATTGACAGACCGTGGCTAGCTCTGAAGTGAAACCACGGTTCCCATCGGACATTTTGGCAGGCTATTAAAAAAAATGTAAACTCTATAATCGTGCGTGAAACAGGCTTGAAATCCCGTTCCCATCGGACATTTTGGCAGGCTATTAAAAAAAAAACGTAAACTCTATAATTGCGCGTGAAACAGGCTTGAAATCCTACATTGATCTTGGGTCGGATGACTAAAACAAGTCTTTCGCTGTGCTTCGAGTTGTTTTTAACGGTTGCTGTCGTTTGTGTCGTGTATGTTTTGCTTCTCAGGGGGACGTCGGTTTGCCAGGGGAACCAGGAGAGGCGGGTTTCAAAGGGGACAAGGTAAGCTTGCCCAATTTAAGCCCCGCTTAGTTCGTGGTTCGATTCACTCAATCCTTTTCTTAGTGTCAACATGTTCCAAGAGAGTTAATGGTAGCCTTGTTTCCGCGAAACTTGTACTTTCACAGGGCGTCCACGGGGCATCTGGTACACCAGGACCGTCTGGAAATCCAGGACCACAGGTGAATCCCTTAGTTTGGTAACACTTCCTCGTCAAAAACTGAAGGGTGCATCGTTTTCTCGCTGCGTTGATTTCTGAACACTTGGTGAATGGCGGTGCTTTGCCAATGACAAACTACCGGTAATAACTAAAGCATATGTTGTAGGAAAAATACTTTTACATGCAGTGCTGGTATAAGTCTGACCTAATTTTACAACATAGTCTGGGAGGTTTTTGTTTTATTTTGCTGACAAAAATGTACGCAGAGAGTTAAATGTATCCGCCAAGGCCACTTTCTGTGCTGATGCGCCACACAGGAGTCATCATACCTTGGAGGCTGGTCTGGTCTCTGTCATTTAAATGACTTGATCTATTCAAATGTGCAACGTATACCTTTAGAGTGGGGTAGAGTGACATTTACCGTACTGGGCGGGTCTACCGGAGTATATACTGTTCATGGGTCGGATCCACTTGCTTTTGGGTCAGACTGTTACGATGTCTTTAGTGATTATCTTCATACTTTTTAGGGTCAACCCGGTGATAAAGGCCCAGACGGTTCGGCCGGCCCTCCTGGCCTCGAGGTAGGACGAGTTTCCGTCATGTTTTGAACAAAGCAACATGAACGTATCATGGGATAAAATCACGAATAATAGTGTAATAGCGTCGATTTGGCTTCACGGGGATCATTCTAGGGTTTCCCGGGAGATATCGGCCCGCCGGGTCAAAATGGTCCAGAGGGGCCAAAGGTCGGTATCGTGTAAATATCAACAAACGATGTCTAAAATGTGGCCAAAGTTGATTTTTGGTGTTGTCGATCCCAGGGTAGGCAAGGCGCCCGAGGGTTTCCTGGTCCACAAGGAACACCTGGACTCAATGTGAGAAACACCCACTCGGTTGATCAAGAATAGATGACCGTGTCTTCCGCTCGGTTTTGATACTTTATGTTCAACAGGGTGATGAGGGGCCAATCGGGCCAGCTGGGCCAGCAGGAATTGAGGTGAGGGCAGCCTGGACGAAACCAATCACAATAAGTTGACCCAATTTTTGATGTCGCTTATCCTTTGAAGTAGTGAGTCAATCCTGATCAGATTTACGTTGGAACAAAAGGGTAGTACGAACAATTTACACCAATAAGTGATACGGGAACAGTGTCGACTTCTCAGTCGTGACTCATTGTGTGTCTCTTATTGGTTTCTTCCCATTTTACTCGAACTGCACTACTCTGTCATCTTCCGTTGCCTGTTTTCAGTCAACCAATCAGTCGTGAGCCGAACTTGCAATGCAAACCAACTGCGATGTCTTTAGTTTCACCAAAATGAGGCACGGCTGACAAAGACCAGATGGATTTTAGCACCGTGGGAGTAAAATAACTTGCAAACATTGCCTTCACATTGAGTTGAAATAGAAATGTCCAAGGCTCTGAGGCTCTGTTTTAGATTCAAGATTCAAATGTATTTTGCCACGCGATGGTAACCAAATCAACCTACAACGTCCACTCGAGTGGACGCGTGCTGAGTGTTTTCTCATTCCACAGCACATTCTCTGTGTCACTTTGACTTTGTGTTCAGGGCAGGCCGGGGAGGCAAGGATTCCCTGGACTTACAGGCCTGGACGGAGTCAAGGTCAGAAGGACAGAGCATACGCAAACGGAACTATCTCCCGGCTTCTTTTTTGCTCTAATGCCCTCATGATCAGCATATGTATACATTTTCCTTGAACGCGCTCACAAATTTGACATACTTTACATTCTGTAGGGTGAGATCGGGATAACCGGAGAGGTCGGGAATCTTGGCGAGAGGGTAAAATTGCTTTTCTCCCGGTGAACATCAGCACGTCTCCGTTTACTTTGCAAAGCTGGGATGTTCGTGTGAGGAACAAAAGAAGTGATACGGAGTGTTCTTTTCTTTTACTCCGTCAGGGTTTGCCTGGATTCATCGGGATGACTGGCGCGACGGGCCTTGCGGGAGAAATGGTTTGCTTGTTTTTTTTTCTTTATTCATTACATATTTTGCTAGCCGGTCTTAATTTGGATCAGTTTGCTGTCCATCATTTGGGACAGAAAAACAAAACAGTAAAGTATTTGCCTGACTTCAATGTAATGTAACTGTACGTTAAAATTATGACGTGCCCTTCCACAGGGTGATCGTGGGAAAATGGGCACTCCCGGACCACCGGGAGAATCGGGGCCGATGGTAAGGAGTAAGTCTTGGAGTCTTGTCCCGAGGGCACTCAGTCCTTTGTTAGCTACGTGCGGCTTGAACCTTTCATGCGCCCTGTAACCTGATAACATGATAAGCTGTCCACTGTAGTAAGTGCTGTGCCTGAAAGGGTGAAAGCGAGTGTGATGATATTCATTCAGCCCGGCAGATTGAACCCCTTTAATTTTGATGTCCGACATGTTGTTCGTGAGTCGCTGCAGTTTCACTTTGTTCTTTCAGGGTCACACTGGAATACCCGGAGAGACTGGCCCTCCTGGGGCAGAAGGGATCCCAGTAAGTCAGCCCCACATTGGTCCTCAAAACCCCTGGGGCAGAAGGGATCCCAGTAAGTCAGCCCCACCTTGATCCTCAAAACCAGGGGTGTCAAACTGTCCCGGGCCTGATTTGAGTTACAGTTTCCCTTAGGGGTGTCAAACTCATTTTTGTCGCGGGCCTGATTTGAGTTACAGTTTCCCTGAGAGGGTCGTTATGACTGAAACCATAAAAGAAGTCAAGAATAACGGTTTAGTCACCTGTAGTTTAAGTTAATGTAATGAGGGGTTTGGTAACAAGAAAATGCTTACAGTATCATTCTTATTCATTACAAATGAGAATTTGAAATTTTGGTCGAGATTTTGGCAAGCATCTTTGATTTGCTTTCGCGGGCCACATAAAATGATGTCAGGGGCCGGATCTGGCCGCTGGGCCTTGAGTTTGACACCAGTGCTCAAAACCATTGATGGGTTTGAGATACGTCGAATTAGTTCAATGGGTTTGCGTTTCGATTACGATAGCGCAGCCCATGGCATGCATGTGTGTGATTTTTGAGATGAGAGCTGGAGCTTATCCTTGATAAATTTGGGGTACATCTTGTACTGATTGCCAGCCAATTTCAGTATTGACTATATATCTCCTGGATATTGCTATTTTTAGGGCCCTACTGGCTCACGGGGATCAGGTGGCACCAGAGGACCCAAAGGCATTGAGGTAAGTAACTTACTTTGGCTTGGAAAAAAACCCCGTTGACATAGCTTTTGCAGATATATTGCAAATCTGCAATAAAATCGGAGATTCACGCATGTCACGGGACATTGATATTGTGCCTGCCAAAACATACTCACGACTCTCCTCCGTAAAGGAACCGGGTCAGTGATATACTGTCAGAAACACGTGGTGTGGAAAGGAGAGGCGGTTGAGTGCAAAGTTTATTGCCTTTGCCGTCATTCAGCTGATCGAATGAGACGGCCGCACTGGATGAACAATTGAACACGAGCGCGGATAATGAAGGCATTTCATTTTGGAAATGAGTTTAACAATCCTCCCCTGACATCACAAATGCAATATCTGATCACCATAATCGTTGAAAATTACATCCAGTCCCTGGAAAATAGAATTAAAACACCCATCTCCTTAATACGCTGCCTGATGAAAATCCTCATTAAAAGTTTCCCATTTTCAGCGATAGAAAGGCCATTTGAAGAGGCCACTGCTTGTCTGCATGCGACTTGTTTCTTTGCTTTTCAGCTGTTGTATGCATGAAGAGTGATGTTTTCTGAGTCTCGTGTCTTTGACTTCAGAGGTTCGTGAGCCATCAGCATTTGACAACTTAGGCTTCGTACTTTCTGTTCGCATATTGCCCATGGCTAGCCACTTGACGCAAGACAATTTCTGCCCTCGACTGTGGCTCAGCGCCACTTTCCGAAACTTTATGGTCATCGCACCGCTCGAATTCAAAGCACATCCGTTGATCTCCGTGGCAAGTTTCTCGCTTAAAATGGAAGATTATGACGCTCGACAGCCTGAAGTTGCTAAAGGTAAAGCTTCATCAGTCTCTGAAGCGTCCACTGAATCAAGCGTTTGGTGATGATGATTTCTAGAGCGGCGCTCGCCTGCTCCAGGAGTTTGACGTTTCCATCAGCGGTGGTCGTAGCAGGCCTTCCGCTGAACTTACCATGGACAGTGTAAATTGCACTACGCTTTGGAGCAGCACGATGGCCGCAAAGTTTATCAAACTTGTGCTGAACTGCAGCTGGGGGAAGAAAAGCTTCTTGCCAGCTGGTTGCTTTACAACAGTGTTACAATACCAATGCGATATTTATGGGCAATGAATCGATGGTGACGTTTCACACTTCAAAGGTGCCAACGTACAACAAATCCCCATCATGGAAAGATGGCGCCATGCACTAGATTGTAGATTTAGAAAATAAACACAAAATTCATTTGAGAGTCTCTAATATGGGCAAAATTGTTAATTAAAAAAAAAGTCTGTCTCCAGGGTTCGACTTCGTGGGGGCGTCTAGAATGAGGATAAATTGCTCTTACTTCAATTACTCCGTGTTTGAAACCGCACTAGCCAGCGAACGTAGAAGTCGTCATTTTTCTCACAATGTTTAGGAAGGATTTTTAAAAAATAACCTTTTTCCTTTCTTTTCTTGAGGGTCCGAGGGGTCCTGATGGCATCGTCGGGGAAGATGGTCCTGCTGGACTAAATGTGAGCACCTGAACAATTGTCCAACATTCTTGAAATTTCAGTTTCATGTGTTTGTTTCTTTGCTGATGCTCTTATTTTTGCCTTTCAAACTCCATTCGGAGAGTGTGGCTCTCGAACTGGACACATCAGAATTGCTCCACTTACATAAACATCTTGTCCGTAGAGACAAAGAAAATCTTGCAAAAGTAAAAACAAAATAGCTTTTTTTTTCATCAGGTTTTTTTTTCCTGTCATTGATTATTCTTAACATCTGAAGAACTTTATTCAGGAAAGCTCTTTGTTGGAGAAGTAAAATACAAGTTGTTAGCACTTGGCTCGCTGCGACGGTTTGATTTTTGGGGAGGGAGGAAAAAAAAATCACCTGAATCTGTTCTTTGCAGGGCCCTGATGGTCCGCCAGGAAAGACAGGCATCCCTGGCCATGAGGTACAGTGTATGAAAATAAACATTTTTCAAAAATTAAAAAAAGAAATACTGTTGCCGTTGATATATATTTTTTGTATGTTACTTTGTACAAAATACAAAAGGTAGTTTGTTACATTTCACAGACAAGGCCATGACACACATGGTAATTGGCTATTTTGAGCCTGAATGACGGTTAAAAAATGTTAGGAATTTTCCAACTCCTGAATTATAGTACACATACAGATAGGAAATTAAATGCATAATTAAAAACATCGCCGACAGGTGCACTTATTTTGCCTCATTGTGCTGCAGGGAAAGCTTGGCGAGCCCGGTGAAGCGGGACCGAATGGATTTCCGGTACGTGACCATTCTTACCTGGTATTAATTACTGCAGAACTTTTTTTTTAAAATTAGTTAATAGTATGGTGCCTTATTTTAGGGGATACAAGGGCACTCTGGCCCTCCAGGGGACAAAGGACTTGCTGGGGATGCCGTGAGTCATATTTTCATCAACTGTCATCAGTCTGCCTTTTTTTTCCTTTACATTTCTTTGTTTCCAAGATAATATGCCTTAGTAACATGTCATAAAACCTTTGTGAACCGCACATATATTATTTAAAGGCAAATGAGTCACTTTGTAACTCTCACACAAGTGTCGAAATTCCCACCGACCGTATGTTAACACTCACTTAACTTTTGACAGTTTGCCCAGTTATATTGCCGCTATCCTGGAATGTATGACATATAAACAAACACGTAGCTGTGAAATCACCTTTTTCTCCCCCTCTGCTGTGGAAACAAACTGTAAAGAATTGCGACAGGAAAACGCCGAGCAGAATAATCCTTTTCTTGCACCTGAGTCTCATAGACGCCATTTAGACAAGTAGTGAGACGATGAGTCACGACATCCTATACCTGCCGAGACAGTTTTACTGTCGTCCTGACAGCGTTGCCACGGCAACAGGCTCGTCTCCATCACTTACAAAGACTCTGGTGCGCGATTTTCAAAGCACTTTCCATTGCAGATTTAATTTGGCTCCTCCGGCCCACACACGCCATCTCATTTATTTTCACACATTTATTTCCCTCCTTTGCTGTCATTTTTTGAGGTTGTCAAACCTTCACATTCATGGCCTACCTTTGTGTGTGTGTGTAGGGAGCAGCTGGGCCTCCAGGAACGGGTGGGCCGACGGGGGAGATGGGACCCTTGGTGAGTCTGATCACACAACTGGCTTCGGAACGTGTGCTGATGATTGAAAGTTGCTTTGTGTTTCTGTACAGGGCTTACCGGGGAAGGCTGGAGATGGAGGACTGTCTGGTGAGCCTGGGGACAAGGTACATATATGCCACTTTATTAGGTACACCCACACAGTCTAATGATATCCGACGTCTTTAGAACTTACGATTTGCTGAAGGATGATCATTCATTCACAGGGTGACCTTGGTCCATCCGGCAACATAGGAGAGCAGGGCTTGATTGGCCAGAGAGTGAGTATCGTCTATACAGCGCTGTCGTGTGAAAATGTGGGTGTATGTAGTTTGTAGTAGTTACATTCATGAAGATTTTTTTCCCCCCCCCTAAGGGTGAGCATGGCATCGATGGTGAGGCTGGACCGAGTGGACCTGATGGAGTTAAGGTAAAGCATAAAAGGAATGATGGAACATAAGTGTTTATATTGATCCCCAAACCTAACTCAACATTTTCAGCATGGGTTCATTCAGTCCAAGAAAGACGTGAAACAGAACCAAATACGTGAAACAGATCCAAATGAGTTCAAATCCAGTTGAATCTTGTCGTTCGTCGTCATTAAGGCGAGGCAGACGTACGAGTGAGCTCTTGGACTTGCACTGAGGCAGATACAGACAATGTGACTCTTTTAAAAGCTATCATGGCTGGAAAGCATTGGAGGGGGAGAAATTGTTGCCAAATGAAACCAAGTCAAACAAACAGAATTACGAGATTCATTTTGGCTCCATGGTCTATACAACATATTTTTGTCAACCAAGAGAGTTAAACAGTGTACATTAAATCCACTGTGTAGCTTTTGGATAGAAAGCAGCAGCTCACCAGGGATTTGCGAGCATTAGCTGTTCACTCTTGGGAGGAAAAAAAATCTGCCTCTTGTATCGCTTCACGAGCATTAGCTGTTCACTCTTGGGAGGAAAAAAAAATGAGCTCCTTGTATCGCCTCGTTCTTCCATTCTGGTGAAAGACAAATGGAAAGTCAGCACGTTTTGACTGTCTCTTTGCAGCCGTGTGTCGCTCCGTCAACCCTCCCAAAAGGTATTAAAAGACTACTAAGTAGGTGTCACACAAACAACAAAGTAGCAACAACATCACTCTGTATAGCATAGACATTTGCCTCTTAACTAAAGTTAAAAACTAATCATGGAAGGTCCGAATTGTCGACCACATTGTGGCGAGCAGAACTTTCTGTATTCAGCAGCATGTGCCTTCATAAGAATGAAGAAAACACTTGCTAACTAGCCAACCAACAAAATGAAGAAAATACTTTCCTAATTAACGAGCTAGCCAACTAACTCACTACCTACCCAAGTAATGCCAATTTTGCGACATGGACGCTATTTATTGATTTTTCTGACACCTCGAGTGACTGTTTTCAAAAAGTGACTCCTGACAAATATGACTTGTGTTACAAAGAAACTCCAATGGACCACCTAGCTTGATAAGTCACAACCTAGATAATTAACAAAGAAATGAAATAGTAAACTAACAAATGAAATACTTAGCTAACTGCACACCAAGTGTTGCCAATGTAGTGACTTTTCTGACCCCTCGAGAGACGATGCAAAAAAGCTACCCCAGTAACTATCTATCAAGCCATTTTACAAAACGACGAATTCAGCTGATTAAAAATCTACATATGAAGCAATTAATTTGGAAACTAGCATACACACCTTCTTACCCAGCCGTGCCCACTTAGCCAACTCTGCTTCCTGTCAAGCTAATCGGCAAACTAACCAATTAATAAATAAAATAAATAACATTAACTCTGTAACTATCTAGCTAGCTAACTAACGACCATACCAACCAACTAGCCAACCTTCATTCTACTTTATTACATTTTGCGATGTTAATATAACGTAAACAATGATACCCAGGAAAATTTCATGTCCTCTGGATATTGAAGATAAAATGTGACGGATATTTGCTGTTTATTGGCATTTCTGTTTGAGTAATTTTCCTCGACTCTGCTTGTTTGTTTTGATCAGCTTGAGGATAACTATCCTCCTCCGCCACATAAATCGATATAAATTCTTCCACTGCTACAATGATGTCTCTTCAGGGTGAGAAAGGGGATGCCGGCGCAGAGGGTGCCATGGGAGACAAGGGTGAAATAGGCCAGAAAGGAGAAGATGGACCTTCTGGGCCGCCTGGACTGTCGGGAGTGAGGGTAAGTGTCTATTGGATTCTCTTGATAAATAAGATGTCTTGTTTTTGTCCACTTAAAATCATTCTACTTTAAAAAAGGGTCAGGAGGGTAAACCAGGCAAAATTGGCGAAGGAGGAAAAGCAGGAGATAAGGTTTGTCCACCCGTCACTTTCCCCTTCAAGTCGATTTGCTGTCCCTGTAGTAGTGATTGAACACTTCTTGATAAAGAGATACCTTCTTGGGGATGCTCTCCGATCGTAAATTGGAAATTGTCACTGAAGTCACTGGGGTTTTCACCCCCGCTACATACCTGCTTATTGACTGCCTCTCGCCAGGGCACCAAAGGACACCAAGGTCACCTGGGTGAAAGCGGGCCAATGGGCGAGCAGGGAGCGCCAGGATTTGTCGGACTGAAGGGAGCGAGAGGAACGATAGGTCCAGTGGTAAAACATCCGCTCGCTTTTCAAGCCTCTTTTGGACTGACAGACTTAATTGGATTTTGGTTTAACGTGGACTAAATGTGGATTTATTTCCCCAGGGTGCTCCTGGAAGAATGGGACAGCTGGGAGAGCCGGGAATTCCAGGCTATGAGGTGTGGAATAGCATTTTTTTTTTTTTTAAAGGAAATCCTCTCCAGTAAGGTGATAAAACAATCACCCAGAGTGGGATTTTGTTAGATTTCTATTACTGCTGGTAGCCACTGAAGATACATTGTTCTGCTTTGTGGATGTCACAGTCACAACACTCAAGGGGGATGAATCATTCCGGGCCTTCCATCTGTGACCTTATAGAATTACCTGATCCATTTGACCGTTAAATAGTTTTCAACATAGCACCAAAAAACGTTTTTTTCTTTCACGTCACTGGGTATTCTGCACTTATATGTATTGACCACAGTTTGCAAGAAGCAACCTTATTAATGCATAATTCCAATCATCTATACAATGTATGGTGAACAAAATGCAACTTTCATATTTCAAGTGTTGTTAATGATCTCATTTGAATGGCAGGTTTACAGACTGGGTATCATTTTAAAGATATTCCAGGTGGAAAAATCCAACTCAAGATTGTGAAAGATTTTTTTTTTTTTTTTTTAAGGGAACAGACAAAATAGTGTGTTTGTACCCCAAAATTAAACAAAACTGAATCTGACCCAGACTGTGTAAAAGACAGTTTGAGAAATGTGATTAACCCTTTAGAGGGCACCCATTAAAATTACAGTACAACTCCAGAAAATTAGAAAAACACACATATTTAATTTACTTGTGTAACTTTTTTTGTGTTATGGGGATATACCATTGAAATGTAATTTTATTTTTGAGGGGTGTTTGGTGTCAATTGCAAATAAATTGAAATTACCTGATATGGTTCATCGTGCAGTTTTTTTAACCAGATTTTTTCTGATCAGATTGAACTTTGTTCCGTTCTTACCTTGAATTTGGTTGAAATTTGTTCCATTGGCAGTGAGCACTTCAGCTTTGCCGAGGTGACCAAAATGTCGGTCACATCAGAAATTGACTGGTCCCTTCACCACCAATACAGTGAGACTGGACATTTCAGTGGTCTTTTATTGTGGCCAGCCTATGCCTAAGGCTTTTTTTTTTTCTAACTTGTTCAATTCATGACAACAGAGGAGTACTGAGTGGTAAAAGGTTAGCTTTGTCCGAGTAACGGAGTACTCCTCTTGTTGTAGGGTCACAAAGGACTGCACGGCTCACAAGGACCACCAGGACCAAAAGGTGAAAAGGTACATTGGGACACGATTCGTTCCGCACTCATTACACATTACAGTGCCTAACGTTTGTCGGTTAAGGTAGCCCTTCGATTGGTCGAAAGTAGGGCACATCGAATTCACTTGTTAGCGTTCAAGTGTGCAATCCGCCGAGTAAATGGACACTTTTAGTCACGATTGAAGCAATACAAACATTTCTGTACACTGGACAGGATGCAGCACAACACAAACCAGATTAAAACGCTTTGAGCCATCTGGATGTGCGCAGTTGTATTGTTGTCAGAAAATAATAGCAATGCTTGTTGACTAATCAAAATCATACGGTCACATGTGAACTTGATTGCCTCCCCCAACCAAAACGTGCAGCCGATGTGAAACAAATCATACTTAAACGACTGTCCCAGTCACTCTTTATATTTCTCATTTCGCCACGGCCTTTCACCATTCCTAATTATTTTCTCAATTTTGTCATCATTTTTAAAAAATCCTTTCGTTTGACACATGTAGAACACATGACGGATAAAATCCCTCCCGCGACTGTTATTGTTCAATTAGTGTTTTCGAGTTCCAGAGAAAGCGAGACACTGACTCATCCTTGTGCATTCTAACACTTGGAAAGCACCTGTCCTGTGACGTGGACACGACGATTACGGCATTTGCGTGTAGAAACATTTGCCATGCTCGCCTAAGGGGTAATTCTCAATTCCTTTTTTTGTTTTTGATGATTTTCCTGTTGCTTTTTAGGGTGTGCAAGGGGAGGACAGCAAGATAGAAGGACCCCAAGGTCGCCAAGGTGACAGAGTGAGTTTTTTTCTTCTTTGGTTACCGCTGCTCGGCGATTTAGCCATGAGATGTGAACTGTATTAACGCCCGCTTTAGTTCGGAGGTCGGGGGTTCAAATCTGAGCTTTGGCGTGGGGTCTTTCCTCTGTGTATCGGGGCATCATCCCACATTCCCAAAACATGCATGTTAGGCTCAGAGAAGACTCCAAATTGTGCATCGGTGTGATTGACGTTTTCAAAGAGGAGCTAAAGGGAAGGCACAGCAGCTCGTTCTGATCCTGCTGATCTCACGACGGCTGCGTGTTAAAGGGAACACGTTCCTATGGTGAGAGAGGCGAGCCAAGCAGACAGCTTCACACCATCCCGGTGTTCGAGACGGCTTGTCTGAGGGGCTGCGATTTTAAGACCATGTGCAGCGATGAATATTTTAGTGTCGGACCCGTTGTGATATGTCGCTGGTTTGTTTGGAGGCGTAGGGGACGTCGCCATCTACTTTATGTTCTCTGAGGGTCAGCTGACCGTACCGCATTTGAGGTTGTTTTTTTTCCTCTATGCGCCCCATGGCAGGGCCCTCCTGGTAACAGAGGTGATAGAGGAGAATCAGGTGACCCCGGACACGATGTAAGTGAATTTAAGATGACTACATTCCCCCACCACTTATGAAGCCTGACGATTTTAAGCTCTGCATAGTGTCATGTATGACATTTTGCAGGGTCCAGTAGGTCTTGATGGAGAGAGAGGTAAAGCCGGCGCCCAAGGACTTCCTGTAAGTATGCCGTCGGTTTGATTTAAAGCCACACCAAAGCTTTGACGTTCCTTTTTTCAAACCGTAATGGTCATTTCAGGGACATCCGGGGCCCGGAGGGCAACAAGGACTGAAAGGATCCAAAGGTGAACAAGTAAGGACTTAACTCAGTGTAATGTAGATGACTGCAGGCGCTGTGTGTTGCTCGATTCTAAAAGTCTACCGTGCACTCACATTGGAGTTACACAACGTTAACTCTCTGTGATCCAGGGTCAGAAAGGAAAATCTGGGCCGAGAGGAACATCTGGGAGCAAAGGACCACCGGTGAGATAACTGGCAACAATATAAGACCTTCAGTAACCGTACAGACAATGATTGAAGTTGTTGGAAGTCTTCAAACACAAACTTCACAATAGAGGAAGGGCAATAAATATCACGGGGGTATAAAACGGAATATCCAGAGGCCCAGACATGACGTGGGAAACCATTTTTAAATGGTTGTAGGCTTATTTTCAGGCACATTACTCAATCTATGCCAGCCATCTTAGTTCATCGTAACTGTTGACTGCCAGCCATTTTAGAACCTTTTGACTGATTTATCAAGAACCACAGAATAATCTCTCGAGCTATCTTAAATCACTGTGATAGCAAGTATAACGGTGACTTTGATGCAAGTATTTTTGCTTTCCTGACAGTTAACATCTGAACAGTGGTTTCATTCTATAAATCAGGTAAATAAACATTTTGGAATGGCTATTCACAGCCAAGTTTTTATTCAGTGATATACGAATGCTGTGAGTAACGCCAAATGGTAGAAGATGGCCGCTAACCAGTCAGTGGCTAGTGTGATAAGCTAATGTAGCATTCGAAATCATGGTGGGGGGAGTAAAAACCTACCAAAATAAAAGCTGTAACAGCACAGCACGGCCTATCAGAAGCTAGCATTTTGCCGATCCATCCGCACGACTACCGGTGGTCATTTCTGCGAAACTGAAACACTCGCGGCACAAAAGTACTTGCGCTCAAAATGTGTACAACATCGACTGACTTCCATGTAACTTCCTTGAGTGTTATAAATAAAGATGAGTTGTATTATATTGTATTTATTGTTTTTGACAAGGGTCCAGAGGGCTCCCCTGGCCCACGAGGTGTTACAGGAAGGGAGGGTCTGGAAGGGCTTCATGGAATGGATGGATTGCCCGGAACAGATGGAAGCAAAGGCGCCAAAGTAAGGCAGGCTGTTTGATGAATGGGTTAATAACTTCAACTACGGTTCATCATTCCTATCTTTGCATTCAGGGGGAGCAGGGAGAAGATGGAGGATTAGGCCTCATGGGGAAACCTGGGCCACAGGGTAAAAATGGTGAGACGGGTCTCCCTGGATCTCAAGGTTCTTTTGGATCAAAAGTAAGACTGATCTTATTGGCGAAAACGGTGATATCTCACGGCTGGTACCAGTGTGTTTGTGGGGCACGTTTACCGGATGTCATATTCGTGTGCTTTAGGGTGAAAGGGGTCTTCCGGGCCAAACTGGACCCTCAGGAATTAGGGGAATCGTTGGCAGTGAGGGATTGATGGGAAACCAAGGACTGAAGGGCTCCAAAGGGCAACCAGTACGTATAAATACTGCACGTCATTTAGCATCACAGCCTATTTTGGCACAATGTTTTAAATAATTGTACGACCCATTCTTTAATATTTCAGGGGGACATTGGTGAACAAGGATTTGCAGGGGTGCTAGGTCTCTTTGGACCTAAGGTAGGATTCCATCAAAATCCATCCAGTATTTTGAAATGTCTCAAACGTTGACATTCCACGATTTGCTTTCTTCTTGAGATGTTCTGCTCCGGTACTAACGAGTCAACTCTGCATTTTGCTTTCATTATGTGTGAGTCCATGAATGTAAAGAATTGGTCTCTCTCCCCAGGGACCCCAAGGAGACATGGGCCCAGCGGGGATACAGGGACCAAAAGGACCAAGAGGACTGATGGTAAGTACGTCTGGATATTCTGCCTTGATTTGAACCCAAAATACAACTCCGTGTAGCGCTGCGTGATATTACGATAGATATCGAAGCGTGATATAACCGTATCTACCGTACGATAGAACCCTGGATCATTTCTATCATAATTTTGTGGGGTATTGAGTTATCTCTGTTGCTACAATAATGTCGCGTCCGAGAAGGTCGCTCAACAACAGCCGCCTTAGTATTACATCATCCTCGTGACATGATCGATTGACCCCTCAAGCCAACCGTGACATGAATTTAACCACTGTTGCGTGGGTTGATTGCTCATGTCTGGAGAGCGGGCCGAAGGTATCACGTGCCAATGAGGCGAGACCGCTGCACCGGGGCCGGCAACCGTTTCGCGGTCCGGCGGTTGGGCCCCGCTGCTCGCAATCACTCAAATGCGTCCTTGCTTTCCAGGGTACGGACGGAGCTCTGGGCCCCGTTGGCATCATCGGCCCCAACGGCCATCCTGTACGTACCTGTATGACACATCCTGACTTGACAGTTTTATGGTCCTTGGAGTGACCCCCCTGCTTTCTCTCTCATCAAGGGACTACAAGGTGACAAAGGAAGTCGGGGGGACGTGGTGCGTGACAAACTTTTGACAAATCCCTTTCTGTCTGAACTGAGTGCTGGCTGGCATGCTTAGCGTGGAGGCTACACACACACACACACACACACACACACACACACACACACACACACACACACACACACACACACACACACACGGCGGTCTCTAACGCCCTTTGGCACTTTCCTCTTGTGCACCACTGTTGCAATATCCACAGTGACACTTTGCGCTAATGAAATTCTGCTTCATACCGATCGATCCATTTAATCGCTTTATTGATATGCTTCACACCTAAAAAATGCGCTTACGACGAGAAGGGAGTAATCTCACAGAAGTGATTTGAAAAAAAGGGTTGAGCAGATGTTTGTTAAACAGGCGGCGCAAAAATGTTTCAACCTCCATCCTCATTCTATTGTTCTGGAATTGTCTGCCGTCAAGTATTGATCTATTTCATCCTTAACAGGGCTTGCCAGGACCAAGGGTAAGGAATAATAAATCGTTTCAGTCCAAGCAACCTCTGAAAAAAAAAAACAATATTTTAAAGCTGAACATGTTAACAGGATTTTTTTTTTTTTTTCTTCAGGGATCTCCCGGTCCTCGTGGCCCACCGGGGCCTCCAGTAAGTTCACTTCACTCTTCATAGTTTACGTGCATAACTTATTGGACGTTTGGTAATAAGATCGCCTTTTTGTTTTCCCTAGGGTCGCACCGGTTCTACCCTTTCTCTTGTGTGTATTTCTTTTTCTGGTGAATTCAGGTTAAGCCTCAAACTATGTGCGCTTTGCCTGACGTCTTTGTTTTATTTCTGTAGAGGAACGAGGCACTTGGTGCAACTTTTCAAGTCATCATTGATTCGCATAATCCACTCAGGCCAGAGGTGAGTTCTGACTGACACTTAAGCCTGTGAGGTTTGAACCTTTTATAGGGAACTCATTGAAATAAATGGACAATTGACATTTTAAACGTATCACATTATTATATTATACGATGCAGCTTTTGCAACTTTGTTACGCATCATTATCATGACATCGCACGACTTCCGATACATGACAATGAATTTTAATAACTCCATTATCATCGTCACCTTTCTTCATTTATTGGTTGCTATAAATCACACGGTTGAACAACCTTTACGTCCACCCAAAAAAATGGAACGGCAGTTGTACGGCAACTCCACTCGGACAAAGTATCGCACACAGCCCGAATCTCAAAACTGCCTCTTTGCCCAATCTGCCGCAGAAGCAACATCACAAATTTTATAATAAAATCATGTGAGCGAGCATGCATTCCAGAAGGCTTAAATAAAATATGATCTTCGATTCGGGTGATGCATCTCGAAAACGGTATTTCCCTCAGGTGCTGAACACAATTCAATCATCCGAGGCTGGTAACCTCCAATATTAAAGTGCAGTGGAGATGTAATGAAAACGTTGAGGCAAATAAGTAACAAAGTAATAAAAGGCAGAAACCGGGCAGTAGAATGGTTGTCGACAATTAATATTTCATCGACCACTTGTATTGTAATTGCCAACTTCTCATGTGTTATGTCTCTGAAATACTTTCCCAATGTGTTTAACACATGCACATCATGGTTCAGATTTGATTTTGTAAGTAGGCCAATTTCAACTAAAGTGACCAAATATGGTCTCCTTTACCCTATAAAAAAAAAAAGACAAAAAATTAATCTAGGAACACTTTGCTGAGCCAGCACTGAAATCTTGACTCAGGGAAGCAAAAGGTTTACTGTTCTATCGTGTGAGTGAGGTGAACCACTGGGCTCTGGTTTGAACCCCCAAACTTTCCATCCCCTTTTTTGGAATGTGACATATGGGTCAACGTCCTCTTGTGTCTTTCAGATATACGAGTGTATCTTTGTCAACAAATCTGGTTTTGCAAAACACATGAAGCAGAACTGAAAATTCTTATGTTCCCGCAAACATGAACTCAAAATGACAAATGTTGTCGTCTGTTCAAAGCTGAATTACCACAATATGGACCTTCCCATGCTGGACCAGGGAACGGAGATCTTCAGGACTCTGGAGCATCTCAGCTCTCTAATCCACAGTCTAAAGAACCCACTAGGGAAGCGCAACAATCCAGCTCGCATCTGCCGAGACCTCTACAACTGCGAGCAAAGGATGTACGACGGTAGGGTCCCAAATAGCCGGACAGATGCTTACGCTGGTGCATAGTTTTGTTTTGTTTTTTTTGCAGAAACAATCTGCTGCTGCTTTTCCAGGCACTTACTGGATCGATCCAAACCTGGGCTGCGATGCTGACACCATCGAGGTCACATGCAACTTCACTGCTGGAGGACAGACATGCTTGAAACCCGTCACCGTCTCCAAGGTTGGATCAGCAAATGCGTGCCTAAAAGTTAATGCATGGCAGGGTGTTTTTTTTTCCTGGCTCAAACTGTCGCAGAATCTGGGAAGAGAATGCTGATTTACCTTCCAGGTGGAGATGGGGGTCGGTCGCATCCAGATGAACTTCATCCACCTTTTGAGTAGCGAGGCTGTGCAACACATCACGGTCCACTGCTTTAACACGCCTGTTTGGGCAGCGGGACCTTCCTTGCAGCACTACAGCCAGGCCGTGAGCTTCAAGACCTGGACAGGGGAGAAGATCCGAGCAGGCGATCTTCTGGAACCACTTGTGCCCAGAGACGACTGCTGGGTATGTGCACACTCCACTCTCTGTGCTGACGGCGTTCAAGTCAAACATGTAAAAGTCTGAATTGAGCTACACGAATAATAATATTGGGCTGATATTTTCCCTTTTACTGAAAATAAATATTGGTTTTAAGTATCAGTTATCGGCCTCCTTAGCTGCTAATACTTAGTATCAGACATATCGGCCGAGTGTGGAAGACTATGGAGAGTTTACCCCCTTGAGCAGATGTATACCATCTACACAACTAAAATAAACTTGACCGGGAGGAACAAAGAAAGCGATTTAGGGAACTGAAACCCCAACAGAAAACTGTAGTCTTGTTCCATACTCCATCGCAGAAATTAGTCCAACTGTCGCCATTTCTATATTTTGAATGCAGATCATCGGCTGTCATTTCATCTTTAACTTGTAACGCATTTCCGGAAAAGCAATTTTTAGATCAAACCAAAACCTTTGCAGAAATACGGAGGCAAATGCTTTTCACTGGACCGTGACGGAATCTATTTTTTGACACAATGTTCCCAGATCAAGGACGGCCGCTGGCGTCAGACCCACTTTGTGTTTCAGACTCAGGAGCCCAATTTACTCCCCATCGTGGAAATATCCAACTTGCCGACCACAGAACCTGGATCACGTTATCACCTTGAGGTTGGACCCGTTTGCTTCTTATAAAACCTCAGTAAAGGCCAGCCCTCCCTCGACCTCCTGAGTGGGGTGACCCGACGGACAGTTGCGGACTGCAAGGAACCCTGATTATGCTCCTGAAACTATGCTTGGACTGCAGAAACAGAGGCGGGAACATATAAGACTTCTGGCACTGATCCGCCTTTGGAATAAAAGCCTTTCTTCTCCAGTGACTTGCCGCAAGCTTTGAATTGCCCTGGATGGAAGGAAAACGATAAGAACATTTCATTGTTTTGGCGCTATCAAACTCTGATTGTACAGAAATAATGAAGGTCCATTTATAAATGCGCTAATGTATTATTTATAACTGTGTATGTGCTGTATATTGTGATATAAAGTGCAATAGCTGTGACTGCGCGCATCATATCACTCATTCGGATGTCTTCGCACAAGCACGTGAGAAGATACTACCTCGTTCGGCACGTCTGAGTGGTCCTGATTTGGGTGCTCTCACTGGACACATTAGGGACACTTGCGCAATCTAATGAGAAAAGGAACATTCTCCACTGCGCTCGGTGAAACGCAGCGCGGTGCGACGTCACTGGCAAAGGACAACTTAAAAAACACGGTGCTGATCAAAATCCGATTCAAACGGAACGGTGTCATCTTTGAAAAAGCAAATGTTTCGCTCTCATTCGTTTTGGGTGCTGTGAAAATTTGTCACATTCGTGACGTTTTTCTCAAACTGGCGAATCAAAATGTACGCACTTATTTGTGATTCATTTGTCTCAATCAAGACTTGAGTTATTGTAAATTGTGAACTTAAAATGTTAGGAAACACTCTGATGTCGACGATTTATCTTTTTTTTTTAAATGCCATTGTCTAATTGCTCGACTGAATGGAATGACAATTCAATACACCTTTTTGAAAAATACAACGAAAATTGAGAATGACTTCACGTTAGACTGTGCAAGTGTACCGAACCTGGTGCTGCAACTATCCTGTACTCAATGGGAATACAACACAAAATATGCACGCCGGCCACATTTTGTTCAATAAATTTTATTTTGTCAAGCTACCGTGATCATTTTTTATATTTAGCACCGTGAAGTTGTTCGGTTCAATGTGGAAAAACTCAACTCATACTTGTGAAAATTATCTGTGAGGTACTTTCTTATCTACTAATTCTACCTTCTACCGTCAAAGTTTATCGTGGGCACATAGCATGGCGGCCCCCGTCGATGGGGAGGTTGACTCCGGTGATGAAAGTGGCGGCATCCGATGCCAGGAAGGCGATGCTGTGGGCCACCTCGTCCACTTCGCCCGGTCGGCCGAGCGCGTGAGTCTGCTTGCACTTTTCTAGGAACTAAAAGGATGAAAAAAAGAAAACAAGAACCACACCATGTACCACCTACAAAGATACATACCGGTATATCTCCAAGTACTGCCATCATGATCAATAATATATTAACGTTTTGCATTTGCATACAAACGGAATCAAATCAGTGTTTACAAACAAACATCTCTTCAAGAACACGTAAATGTATTGAACTTACCAAGTGAAATGCAACTGAACTGCACAGATTCTTTTGTGTACCACTAGAGGGCGCCCACCGTTCCAGGTTCACTGGCATGTAGATAAATCCCAAACACACCTGGCCACCGAGGCAACTTGAGCCCAGACAGTTAAAATAAACTGGTAACATGTTATTTGACTTCCAAATTGTCCTCATTTCAAATGGATATTTCCCATGGGAAATAATGTCAAGTGAATTCATCGTCATCAACATAAATGTAAATTGAGTTTTTTTTTTTTTTTGTTGCTCTTTTTTTCCATAATTATTCCTGTGCAATTTGATGCAAGTAAATGCTGTTGGGGATGGGCTGAGAAAACTCTTTGAAAGCTTGTTTGAGAGCAGGAAAAATAAAGCAAAACCCAGAAGGGAAAAAAAAACAAAAAGGTACCTTGTCTCTCCCTCACGTGCTCACTCCTCCTGCACCTTCCTTCTTTTGTCCATGTGTGTACAATATAACTGTAAAAAGTTACATATACATGCTCGTGTTTGTACCTTTGCATATTGCTCCTCATTCAGTCCTGCCCTCTTGTGCACTTCTGTCACGATCACACCGGGACTGTGGAATTAAAACACACAATGGATCAAAAAGTGTCCCCTGGAGCACTTTGGAAGGCCACAAGGTCATGAAACATACCACACGGAGTTGACTCGAACTTGCTTCGACGCTAGTTCTGAAATGAAAAGCACTTCCATGATTCCTCTTTTTTTCTTTTTTTTTTGAATGAAAAGAGCATTGTAAGATAAAACTGCTGACTCACCCAGTGCGACACAGCGAGTGAATTGGTCAATGGCCGACTTGGACATACAATAGGCCAGAACACCAGGGAACTACAATGACAACAGACTGCAAAGATTGTACCAGATGCTTTTAACCTGTATAGTTATTTTCATGCTCTTTGGACACTTCAATTGGAACACCATCAATATGTATTGTGTCTATGCATGCAGTGTATGTGTGTGTGTGAATGAATTATCTCATGAGATCGTGTGACGAATCAAGTGGCCATTGAATTCATAACGATGACAATTTTATGAATATCTGTACCGATCTCTGTCCATTGACGCTGGACACGTTGACGATGGAGCCTTTGGTCTTGATCAGGTGAGGCACACAGAGCTGGGTCAGGTGGTACACAGATCTAGAAAGCAAGTATCACCGAGTACTCACAGTGTAACCAGCATGAGTGCGTCTCCACGACGACGCTCACCTGACATTGATGTTCATGACCCTGTCGTACGTCGCCAGGTCTGACGTCTCGATGCCGCCTAAGGCCAGGATACCGGCGCTGTTCACCAGGACGTCCAGCCGGCCAAAGTGCGCGACAACTTCCTCCACCGTCCTCCTCACTGTGTCCTCGTCTGTCAGGTCGCCGGGCACAAGCAAGGGCTGCTCCAAACATGAGTAGAAGGAAACTACGCTTAAAGACTTTTAACAAGTGGCATCCGTATTTGTACACATCTATACCTCAGTTCCTCCAGCATACTCTGCGCACTCTTTGGCCACTTTCTTCAGACTCTCCACATCTCTGCCATTGAGAGCCAGCGCAGCTCCCAATTTAGCAAACAAGACGGCCGTACCTGCACCGATACCTGAACTGGCACCCGTGATCAGGGTCACTTTTCCCTTCAGGGAAGACACCTGAAAGAGACATGACACGGCTATAAAAAAAAAAAAAAAAAAAGATAACATTAATATGTTTACTCCAGCACCCCCTCACACCCCTTGTGAGGATAAAGTGGATCGGAAAATGGATGGATGGATGGATGGATGGACATTTAGCCAGACAACATAACAGCACTGACAGTAATACAGTACATTCTTTATCCTCAATGAAGAATGATGAGTAAGGGTGTCATACTGATGAACTGAGAGTAGAAATATCTCAATGACCAGTTTGTCTGTCTGTCTGTCTGTCTTATACTGTGGCCAAGGTGAGCACCCCAGAAAGAGCAGCACTATGGTCATTGAATTGGTGCAGTGTGACCAAAACTGTTTCATCCCTTTGAACGGTTGAGGACTACTCCTTCCCAGTCCACAACACGGACGAGTACATAACAGACAGTGATATGGAGGGTTCTGGCGATCAGTGTTTGAAGACTTTAATTTCTCAACTTTTAGTCATACAGAATTCATAAAGTATGGTCCAGAAAATAACATAGACGATGATGATGATGATCAGTGCTGACATAATTTGACCAAATAAAAACACAGACATTTATGAAGCAGTATTTCTTTTTTTTTTCTTTGAACTTGTCTAAGGCCATCCATAACTTGCAAATGAGAATTCCACATTTTTGGGACGACCCTAAAAGCAACACAGAAACCACATGACAGAGGCGTCATATTGTAATACCACTAATTTATATCGTTTTGAATGTGAATAACTAAGAACTGAATACAAGTAGTCAGGAACAAGAGGATGCTCACGTTTCTTTTAAGAGTCCTATTCGGGGGGAAAAAAACAAAACACCAATTTCATCAGAGTTATAGAGCTGAGTTTCATTGTTTTTCTCCAAGAATGAAATAAAATCTATTCTATTCTTCCATGTTAGAGTAAAGTCCATGTCCCTTGGATATAACAAGAGGGAGAAGCGAAGCGTAACTTACTTTATATGCGTCACCTGATGCCATTTGCGTTTAAAAAAATCAACCTGAAAAATTCCACTGACGTGTTCTCGTGTAACTCATAAGCAGAGCCACAAGCAGAGATTTCCGGGTGGGGCCCAAGCTAGACCTGTGATTGGTTCAACAGAAGTGACGTCAGAAACGATACAAATTACGAGTTCTCATCAAACAATATTGTGCATCGCTGCATACGAATCAAAATGACGGTATTATTAATTTTAAAAAGATGGTGATTAAAAAACTTTAAAACATACCATGTGACATTTTTATTTAACTTTTTTTGAATGAATAAAAATATACAAGTGAAATAAGAAACGTTTTGCTTTCTTATTGGTCATAATTCTTTTTGGCTAAAGCTAACTGTGAGGTACACATGCAAATAAAATGTTTGTGGTGTTATATTATTATTATTATTATTATTATTATTATTATTATATTAACTGGATGTGCAGCATGATTACAATTAAATATCATTTGATATGAAAAAACGAAATGATGCTTTAAGAATAAAGAAAAAAAATACCTGAACATTCTTCTCACAGTCATCCATATACAATAATCACGCTTGCCAAAACATTTGGTACCCATACAGAATTGAATTGATCATTTATAATGCAAAATCCCAAATGTACGACTATATCTAATTATAAACTCTCATGGTTAGATTTCACATGGACTCATAGCATGGCGGCCCCCATCGATGGAGAGGCTGACTCCGGTAATGAAACTAGCAGCGTCCGATGCCAGGAAGGCGATGCTGTGCGCCACCTCGTCCACTTCACCCGGTCGGCCAAGTGCGTGAGTCTGCTTGGACTTTTCAAGGAACTAAAAGGACAAAACAAAAGAGACCATTCAAAAAAAACTATTGATTTAAAGTTGTGTCCATGCACACCAGGCTATAGCTGAGGTCAGAATATAGAGTGGAACGCCCCCCCTCCCCAATGGGTTCCGTGACACTGATTGACTTCCAAACTGCTATAATATCAAAACGACTGTCATACGTACAAGAGGTTAAACACAGAATAATAAATCTAAAATGAAGTAACACTAGATAAATCTAATTTTGATATTGCTTCTACGCCAAATTGTTCGACCTTGAAGGATCCTTGGGTCTGTTAAAGCACGGGACAGGCAAGTGTCAATGTTGCTTTACCACAGCAGTCTCCTTCGCATCCAGTCCTGCTCTCTTGAAAATGTTTGTGACGATCACACCAGGGCTGCGGAAATAAAACACATCACGGTTTGAAAAGTGTCCCCTGCAGGGATTTGGATGAACATGAGGTCATTGAACATACCAAACAGCATTGACTCTAACTTGCTTTGGTGCCAGTTCTGAAATTAAAAGCATGTCAAGTACATTGTTTTTTTTTTTTTGTTTTTTTTTTAGTGCATCTTTAGATGGAACTACTGACTCACCCAGAGCTACACAGCGAGTGAATTGGTCAAGGGCAGACTTGGACATACAATAGACCAGGGTGCCAGGGTACTACAATGACAACAATTTGAAACATTTCCTGAGGAGAGATGTCCAATGTCCAACTCGGTGATCATTTGCGGCTGTTTGTTTTATTATAATACAAAGACAGACTTTATAATTACATGTTACCTTGTATGTTCTTAAGCTAACATGTAATTATATAGTTATCTTCTATGGTTAAGTCATTTGAGGTTCGATTACATTTTTTTATTTTAGAGTGCATGCGCTGCAGTTTCTTTGACTGAACAGAATAGGGTGAAACGGGTAAACTCTTTATTTGTCCAAGGTGTCTAACTGACTTTTTAACCCTTGGATCTTATGCAACCTACAGTACAGTATTTCACAAATGCTAAGCCGGAGGATGTTATTTGTTTAATATTCAACTTTAAGATGTATTGGATTGGTTTGAGAATGGAAAAAAAGCACATTAAACTGGCCCCTGCAACTTGATCCACCTGTGGTATTTTCAGCCACATCTCATATCTCTTGAGCTCATCCTCGAACACTTCTTGCTGGCTCAATGACTAAACATTTGACGTTCATTCCTCACAAATTCACTTTTTTTTTCCTTTTAACCTATTATTTGTGGGAAAGCCTGTTTTGTCCTCTTTCTAAAATGCCCTAAAATGCCACAAGACGGCACTAAAACCCTGTCCAAATAGGAAATTAGTACTACAGTAATTGGTCCACCAAAATATGATGAAGTGATACCGAGGAGGCACATGTGCACTTAGGCTGCGTTTTGTCGAAACTCAAATCATCTGTCAGCCATTTAATTTTGAAATGTAATACGGTACTGTAACGATGCGATCGAAACGATTTTGGATGGATTATGAGATCACAGTTTGTGGTGTACTTATGGATGAAATTATTCTAATCATATTTCTGGGAAGTACTTGTCATGGCAGGGATCGGTTGTTAGTGGGGACCTTTAATTGGTTACTGTAATCGGCAGCCACATGAATCACAATCCAATCGAATCGTGATGTGGATAAAGAATCCCACCCCTTAGGAATGTCCATACCGCTCTGAGTGCAGCGACGCTGGCCACGTTGACAATGCAGCCTTTGGTCTTGATCAGGTGAGGCACACAGAGTTGGGTCAATTGGTAGACAGATCTAGAAAACAAGTCCCAATTGGAACGACCTCACAACAGTGCAACAGGCATGAGTGCATCTCCATGACGACGCTCACCTGACATTAATGTTCATGACCCTGTCGTACGTCGCCAGGTCGGACGTCTCGATGCCGCCGAAGGCCAGGATGCCGGCGTTGTTCACCAGGACGTCCAGCCGGCCGAAGCGCGCGATGACTTCCTCCACCGTCTTCTTCACTGTGTCCTCGTCTGTAAGGTCGCCGGGCACAAGCAGATGCTGCACGGTGTACGCAAAGCATAAGTAACGACTCTTAAGACCTTACTGACACGCTGTTTAAAAAACAAGCAAAAAAAAAAAAAAAAAAGGATGAAGTCAAAATTTTAAATTGAGCGATTCAAAAGACATTTCAAGTTATGTTAATGTGGAAATTGGCTTTACCACATTTTCAACAAAGAAATGAAAAATGACAGAACAAATTGTCTCTTGTTTTTTTCCCCACTTTAAAGATATTATTACATACAAATCAGCAATTTGCTTTCCTTATGTTGTCCTAAATTGCCATAAATGTCAATAATTTATATTTCAAAGTTGTTCCAACTTAAATGACTGTTTTAGCCACCCCAAAAAATACAAGTTGTGTTTTTGAACAGTGCGGGCACCTCTAGCGAACACATCAGTACCTGAGTTCCGTCACCACACTCTGTACACTCTTTGGGCACTTTCTTCAGATTCTCCACATCTTTGTCATTGAGTGCCAGGATAGCTCCCAGTTTTGCAAACAGGACGGCCGTACCTGCACCAATACCCGAGCTGGCACCCGTGATCAGGGTCACTTTTCCCTTCAGGGAAGACCCCTGAAACAGACATGACACAGCTGGGGGGACTTTTTCGGTGGAACCCTGATCTTTTCTCCTGGATATGGACGGCTTGTGATAATTCAGGGATTTTAAAGAAAAACTTTTAATCAGATTTAATCCAGTATAGTATAATTATGCAGATTTCAAAGGGCTTTTGCTTTAAAACGCAACATCCGATCTGAATAAAACTGCCTCGTTGCAATTCTGAGCTGGTCTAGTTTCTCCCAGGAGTGGATTGATATTGTGTGATCATTTAGGGATTCGTTTTTAGATCAGGTTGAATGACCATTATTTTGAAATGCTAAATCAGATTTGGAGGTGGAGGAAACTTCCTGGGTGGAATCACAGGCTTGTCTAATCTTAAGTGTCCTAAATGTGATGACAAAGTTCATGATCCACCTCGATAATAAAGACTGAACAAATACATTGTTTGAGATGCAAAGCATTGCTGTCCAATTGTTCGTTGACGTATGGTAGATTTTTATTTTGAAATGGGTCCATGCACCGCGTTGGAAGCGTGTTACTGTCATGCTGTGTTTCAACAGACATTGATCAATTTTAGTGGAGGAAGACTTGGCTTTGTCTTTTCCAGTGCAAAATGGCCTGGCTGCAGCAATTCAGACGAGCAACAGGCGTTTAGCAGTTCATGGCGTGGTCATGTTGACCGTTAATTTGAGTTTGTTTTTTTTAAACTCTAATCAACATGTGCCCTCTCTACATAATGCTTCTAATATACTTTAAGGGGAAACAAAATATTCAGTGGAAAGGATCAGAAAAATAAATGACTGAATCCATAAAATAAACTTACTCTTAAAGCGTCACTCGAGGCCGACATTCCACTAACTTGAGGTCAAGTGTCCGGATTTCACAGCTGCCAGTGTATAAAAAATGGTGAGATACATGGGCGGAGCTACGTGGGGGCCATCACCACACCTCCATTTGCTCACTGTTGTCTTTTCCTCCTAATTTCACATTGATGTAGTGTTCTGAGATCCATTGGATGCTCTGCCATAAGCTTTTTTAAAAAAAAATTTAATTAATGACCTCAATGAAAATTCACATCTTTTAGTCGAAATCGATCACAATGATGACTGTCACACCATTAGAACCAAACAACATAACTGAGAAGTCATTGTTTATCCTACCATTCACAATCATGGCTTTTTGAATCAAGTATAGCAGTCTTGCACACGCAGTCATAATACAAAAGCAGGAACAAACCGAAGTAAAAAGCAACATGAAGGATGAAGATCTTTTTCTGTCATTGTGCTTTTCAGATATGATTTGAATGAATGAGCCATTGGTTGCACAATGCAAACAATTGAAAAATGATTACATGTATGCAAATGAGCGCATGAGATCGTAAACAAATGCAAAACAACACTAAAGAAAATTGCATTAAATAATAAATTAAGATCAGCAAAACTTTTTTTTTTTTACTTAAAGAAAGTCTGCATGCACACATGCCTACACAGCACCTCACTCTGGTATTGTCTCACCCTGGCCACGCCCACCCAAAAATTATTTTGCCACACCTACTATTGAGTGCATTTTTAGAGAAGTAGTAAAACTAGAACTAGACACAGACTGGGTGGATCTCACGAGTTTTTCTGTTTTAATATCAAACTTTATTGAACAAGTGCATCAGAGCGGACAAAGGCCACATGGTAGAAGACACATGCTCAATGGAAAGTTATGAAACACGGAACCTATCTGTGTTGAATTTGAGCAATGAAGTGAGAAATATTGGTGGTAAAAAAAAAAAAAGGAAAAAAAACTTTCAAATATACAGTTTATGAATTACAAATGAATGGGTGGAATACTGCTTTACTATTTTCTTTTCTAAACAATGTCATCCTCACAATTGACAATTTTGAGACTTTTTTTTTGTTTTTAAAACACACCGACAAAAACATTTGGGCATCATGATGACACTTTCTAACCGGCAAAAGGGTTGGCGTGAATGGTGACGTCTTTAATGCGAGTTTCGGTCAACGGTCGGAACGTCTTCTCATGCACGGGGAGTTTCTCCAGTTCATCCAGTGCTTCCAAGCCATCAATAATTCTAGGGAGAACGAAAAATAAATGATCTGGCATTCTTCGAATAGATTAAGGAACTTTTTTTTTTTTGCATTGAGACTTTAACATACTTCACGATAAAATTTGCATTTGTACACAGTTATAAGTTTAAGTGCTGCCATTAGGTACTGTGCGTACTTTCCAAAGACGGTATACTTCATGTCCAAATGAGGCTGTTTGGCATAGGTGAAAAAAAACTGGGAGCCGTTTGTGTTTGGACCATTGTTTGCCATGGAGACCACTCCTCTCACATTATGCTGAAACAAACAAAAGAGGATTTTACTAAACATTGCTCATCGCCAAAAGAGGAAGAGCGGATTGTGAACAGTTCGAAATACCAGTCAGTGTTAGCACAAAATTACTTACCACTGTCATTCCAGGAAAGTAAAAATAGCAAAGAAACACGCAGACAAAAAAAGCTGGCTGAAATTTGGTCGACTGAAGTGCGAGGAAAGTCAGTGTGAAAATTTAGGGTAGAACTCCAAATTGCATCTGCTCCATGGCATCTGACCTTCCAAGTTCTTACGCAAGTGAAAATTTGAAAAAGAGAAGAAAAAAAAGGGCCCTCTTACTTTTAAATGTTCGCTGAACTCATCTTCAAATTTGCGCCCCCATATGCTTGTTCCTCCTTTACCAGTGCCTGTGTGATTTTGCATGCAGAACAAATCACAAAAAGGCCACGGCAACAGTGTCATTGTAAACAATCACTCCAATGTGGTTTTCCACCTGTCGGGTCTCCAGTTTGCACCATGAAGCCTTTAATGTTTCGGTGGAAGATGCATCTTTTGTAGAAGCCGCTGGCACACAGGGCGAGGAAGTTCTAAAATGAAAAACATTTCCATTCACACATTTATGGAGTTCGGCATGTTTGGGGAATGTGGGATGGGAGAAAGAACATGCAAACTCCACATCTGAAGGATGGCGAAAAGATTCGAATCTGGAACTTCAGAACTGTTATATTAATACCTCCCTGACGGTGTCACTTAAACCTGGTTTTCAAATCCACTTTGACACTCGGTCTCCTGCCCTTTTCAGTTGAAACACAACTTAAAATATCAACTCTCCTTTCTCTATATGTATTCCTAAAAAGAACGAATTTACAACAAATTTCCCCAAGCTGGGAATGCGTCACGAAGAACAATCTGAAAGGCGGAATGGATCTTTTACTTACCTCACATGTTTTCGGTGCGCGTTCACAGAATATTTCGATTTTGATGTCTCCTAAATCGGTGTGAAGTGTAACAGCCTGCACACATCCAGACAGACACCAGAGGAGAAACACACAAGACAAAAAAAAATCTATAAATTTGGCCCGTGAACTACAAACAAACCATTCGTTCTTTGTAAATTACATACATAAAAAATAAGAAATATAGTATGTTCTATTATGACAGGTTTGGAGGCTCTCAAATGAAAAACAAAAGTTACCATTTTTAAACGTTTCGACTGTGCATGAGTGTGTCGACGAAATAAATCCGTGTGGATATATCTCTTGGACGGATAGAGGTTCCGGCAAACCATTTTTGTACAGATAGAACCCGATTTCCGTCCCGACATACGACACTTTGAGTACAGAAAAGTCAGATTCAGTTACTTAATTTTTTATATTCTTAATATTTATGCCCTAGGGTAGTTTTTGTAGAAATATTTATTGAAATTATGGTTTCATTCCTGCGTTTGGGGTAAACGACAGACGATAGCACGTTTCGAATTACGTACAAAATCGTCGCTGACGTATGAACGGAATTTTGTCGTAAACCGAGGACCTCTGTCGTATACGATGCCTAACATCAACATGGCTACTCCTGAATAATCTTACCGTAGTAAAATGTTTGTGTATTTGGGTATTTTGAAAGATAAAACAACAAAAACACTATTCTAAGAATAATATAAAGGAATACAAGCCTGTTAAAAAAAGTCACGAACGTACGTGGTTTCGAATGTTTCTCAATTTGCCATTGGTTTTAATGCAAACAAAAGTTATGAGTGGTTATTAAAGTCTCATGTCAATTACAATATGAAAAAATGTAGCTGAGTGGTCTAGCATCATTTTGTCAGTAATCCCAAAGGAACCACCTTGAAATAAATAAATGCATTGTATTGTGGATGCCCTGCCGAGCCCAACCTCGGAAAAAATGGAATCCATTGAATATTCCAGTCATTGGACGAGTCACATTTTTTATTTGCAAAAGACGGTTGATTTTTCATTTCTCACACCCATCATTCTCATACCAAAACAATTATATTCGGAAATATCTAAACATAAGTTTGCAAAGTAATGACAGTAATACGATATTCAATCATAAAAAGGGAGCATAGCCTACATCACAATGGTTCTCATTCATCAATGACCTCTTTCCAGTTTGCTCCGATTGATTAATTAATCAATGCATGACAAAACATTTACCGTACAATACACAGAAATGTTGTTGTTTCAGCCGTGATTATATGGAGCCAAGTAGTCTTCCACATTAGCTTTAATTGGTGGTCAAGTGTAAAAAGTATTAGACTCGCAATGAAAACAAACTGCAACAGTATATTAAAAAAAAAAAACAAGAGCGAATTGAAGTTAAGGCAAGTGGCCTGCACACACAGCTGTTAAAATAGAAACATACCTCCTCATCGTTTCTTTCGAGTGTGTCTCACTGGTAGATGATCTACGGTATTGTTTTTAATTGACAAAAAGTACATTTGCTCCAGTTTATTGTGCGTATCGGGTGAACATGTGCGAGGAAACCTGCAATCAGATATACATAACAGTGACAAAACTCTTTATTTCTTAGAATGTGTTCATTTGGGGTGACTTAGGTTGACCTTGGTATGTAACCTTGTTCTATTACTTTCTAATGTTGACTTCTAAAAAAATATACCCCCAAAACGTCCAAGACTTCTCCTACCAGGATTCCCCCTGCTCCCCAGCAGCCATTTCATTTGTATAAAATCCTCCACTTATGATAAAACAAATATTACTGATTGTAAATTGTGAGCAGCCAAGGCATTTCACGACTGTTGCTCTGAGGTTTGTTTTTAAGAATTGTTTGGTGGGGCTGCCGCTTGGATCAAATACCGATAGGCAACCTTCCCCGCTCCACATGTAGACCCAGCAAGCCGTGACTGCACATAACAATCGTTCAGAGGACTCTCTGGCATGCGTTCAAACACATTTTCTCATATATTAATCGATTTGGCTCCCACCTTTCACTCACATTTTTTTTCTCAAGATTTTTACAGTATATGCTTACACTATGGGCATAAAACAGTAAATCCAGGCGACATGAGCTGGCGCACATCCTTTTTTTGATTCAAACTTAAATGATTGTCAACTTTACAGCGTACTTGTAAGGTTGTAAATAGACGCAACATACGACATGATATAACGAGCGTAACGTTCCAATATTTTGCAGAGCTTCATAAAGTTCTTGTCGGCGATGCCGAAACGAAGTCCACTGGTTTGGATACGATAGTATTTCTTAATACAAAACAAAGACCATGCAGGGTCACCTTGGCATCTCAGTGGCTTGCTGACACGACGACACGTTTAAGAATACAGAAGAATGTCCTCTTTAGTGCTTGTGAATTATTTAAAAAAAAAAAATGCTCAGTAGAGTTGGCCTATTGTTTTGCATACTTAAAATTCTCCGCCATCATTGAGATGCATAAAATGTAAACAAACATCACAATGGCACTGCTTCTCCAATTTCCCTTTGGGATCAATAAAGTGTTCTTGTGTTATTGCTAAATAGCCTGATGAGGGAGTCGGAGTGCATGTCCAAAAAAAAAAAAAAAAAAACAGTTGGGACGTTATGCACTAAAAGAACAAAAATGGTGGCAAAGTGAGTGAATACTTCCCGTTCTCTATTGGCTGTACATGACGCCGTCCCATCTGGGGTTTGGGGCGGTCGCTTCTGCGACTGGCCTCCCGGTTAGCTATTAACTCGCGGCTACGCTCAAATCTGCTCTTTGTCCGTCCTCCACAATTGTTCTTTGACTTCCGTGGGTAGCGTGTTGAAGAGGTCCTCCTCCACAATCAGACCAGTTCTCTTCAGCTGCCGGCACTCTGCCAGCTCCACGGGCAGACACTCCAGACGGTTGCCTCTCAGCTCGAGTTGCGTCAGTCCGCTCAGCTCGCCGAAGCGCGACGGCAGGGACTGCAGGCAGTTGTTGCCCAGGTTCAAAGTGCGCAGTTTCTTGCACTGGAACAGCTCATTGGGGAGGCTCTCGATCTGCACGTGAGGGTGGTTGAAAGGGGAAAACTTTACCATGTGATGGTAAAACCAGGTTAAATCTCTTTTCATACCTGGTTTTGACCGTAGGTAAAAGATGGATGACCGATTTGCTTCGTAACGATTGTGACATAACTACCAATGAATGAAAGAAACAATCGCGATAAACGGTGCTGGGTGTGGACATAATCTGCAAATCTGCCTCACAAATGTGCTGGAAAACGGCGCCCCATGGTAACGCAGCAGGTTTTAAAATGGCACTTACATTATTCTATCAAGTACCGTATTTTCCACACTCAAACACCAAACAGTTTTTTAGTTCCAATTTAATCCCGTTCAATGAAAATACGGAATCTAACCGCGCGCGGCATGGCGGCGGCTCATCTACTCACTCTATTGGCAGTTACGGCGAGGTACTGAAGGTTCTGCAGGGAGCCGATGTCCGCTGGGATATTGGTTAAGTTGTTGTGGCTCAGGTCCAGAAAGCGAAGCTTGCGACAATAAAACAACTGGCCGGGAATCTTCTCAATCTTATTTCGGTTCAGGTACAGCTTCTCTAAATTGATCAGCGTGCCAATCTGAATGGGAATGTAGGCAATCTGATTGTACCAGAGTTTAAGGCAGACCAGCCTGTGCAGGTGCTGGAAGCTGATGATCTCCTCGATGGTCTTCAGGTTGTTGTCCTTCAAGTCGATCTCCTGCAAATTGTGCAAGCTGAAGATGGAGTGGGGTATGCGCTCCAGATCGCAGCGGATCAGCTCCAGTTCCGTCAGGTTGACCATTTTCTTCAAGCTGTTGAGCACCATCAGCTTGGTGCCTTCGTTGTTGACGGAGAGCTTCTGGAGGTGCATGCCCACGTCGGTCACCACCTGCGGCAGCTTGGTGAGATTGCTCTTCAAACGCAGGACCTTGAGCCTTTTCAGCTCCCGCAGCCCATCGATGACGATGTAGCGGTTGTTCTCCGCGCTGAGATTCCCGGTGAGATGAAGCTCGCTGAGGTTCTTCAAGCTGTAAATCCATAAAGGGATCTCTTTGATGTCTGTGAACTTGATGTGCAGCGACTTCAAGTTCTCCCGCAGAAAGGCCAACGCCGGCGCTTCAATTTTCGCCGGGGTGTGGTAGAGCCACATCTCCCGCAGGTTGACGAGCTGAGCGATGATGGGCGGGATGGTCACATCCGGGATGAGCTCCAGTTTGAGAACCTCCAGCTCCATCAGGTCAAACACGGTGTCCGGAATGCCGCTGAGCATGAAAAGGTGCAGCTCCAGCTTCTCTTGAGAGTTCTTGGTGATCCTCTGCCTGAGCTTGTCCAGGGTCCACTCGTTGTTGAGGTTGAGCTGCCTCAGTTTGTTCTCGCTCACCTCCGAGAGGAACACGGCAAAGCGCTTGGAGTAGAGCGGGTCGTACTGATCGATCATGTGCAGCATGAAGGCAAAGTCGTTCTTGACGTCGGGTATGTCGCTGTAGCTGCTCTCTTCTCGGATCGACTCGAAGGAATACCTCTTGAGGGAGCGCCGCAGCATCCAGCACAGCGTGTACATGCAGATGAAGCCGTACACCACCACCAAGCTAATGTAGAAACAAGCCAGGATCTTGAAGAGCGTAGCCAGCGGATGAGCGCAGCGATACACGCTGTAACCCGTCAGACTCTCGATATCCACGTTGCATTCCACGCTGAACTTGATATCGTTCACATAGTAGCCGGTGTAGCAGATGATCAAAATGAATTTGACCACCTTGATCATCGTCTGACGGATGTACAGCCGGTACACGATGTCCCCTTCTTCCACGTGGATTCGGAACTTCTTGACTTTCTCGAAGAGCGCTTTGGCCTGCTCGCCTTCCTTCTTATCCAAAACGCCCGTCTCCGTTCGATCGACGATGCCCTGCTCCAGGCGCGTCTTTGTCCTCTGGAGCATGGGCACGCTGGCTTCCACGTCTTCGCTGATGACGGACTCCTTGTGCTCCATGGAGCCGTTCATTTTCATCGGTTTCGGATCGCTTTCTTCCACCACCGTCTCGGACAGAGCCCTGGTGGTCCACGGTGAGTCGAAGCACTTGAGTAAGATGGACACAAAGTGCTCCAGTTTGGAGCTAGTGCGGGGAAACTTGAACCAAAAGTTGCTACAGGCCAAGAAAATAAGGGTATGGAGTAAAACCAGGTAGGGGAAATACTTGGCAAACCAATGCAATCGAGTCTCGTAGCACACGGCGTCGACGTAGTTGTACTGGTGGCGGTCCAAATCGTACCGGATTCCTTTGGGCTCCCATGAAAAAGGCGTGGTGAAGGAGGAATTTAAGTTCTTCTTGCAGGTCTGATCGACCACCCACTTGCAGGGCAAGCAGATCATCTTGTCCTGCGTGACTTGCAGAGTCCCCCCGAACACCGAGATCATGAGCATCACGATGGAAATGTAGTCGGTGAACACGTCCCACCATGGTTTCAGGATGCGGTAGGCCGGCTGCGTGTCCACAAAGTACCGCAGTTCAGTGATGGGGATCATGGTTTATCTGGGAGAAAAAGCACAGGTTGGAGCAAACGGCTACATTGAGGATTAGGATGCTCGGTTCGGAGAGCGGGATGTTGAGTTCCCTTTATAAGTGTGAATTTGTTGTTTCCATTTGTTACTTACAAGTGGCGTGTTTATGTACTCGGAAATGAACTGTGCACGGGTGCTACAGGATTTCTGATCTATAGTTCATATTTCTGTCAAACCTTGATAAAAATGAGTTACACAATGTGATCTATTGAGAACCACTGCTTGAAGAGCGCGTGAAAATGAGCTTCCGGCTTTTTCCCCCGATAAAGTGTCCGTTCATAGACTTCACTATAATGAATATGAGGCTTTTGCTTTAACAGGTCCAATTAATCTCTGAAATGGGGTGCCAAACCGGATGCGGACTTCTCAGCCAAAACTCATCACTCAATTAAATAGAAAGTGCAATTTTTTTTTTGCGTCTCCTTGTAGTCTTTCCATCATTTAGATTTGCATAAGTTGAAAGCAAATGATCCGATTGACAAAGTTGGAGTGGCTGGCTCAGATGCCAAAACAATGAAACTGCAATATTAGAAGAGAAGAAGAAATGATTAAAGGCATTTATTATAAATCTATTTCATCATCCTTGGAACATTTTACGCAAAGTAAAAATCAAGCAATCTCAACTCAAGACAGTATTTTTCTTTGGGGTATTTTTCAGATGGTCCAACTTATTTTGCTAGACAAACATGCAAGTATTATCTTCATGTCATTTAATACACTTCCACACAGTTTCTGCATTATACCATTAAACAATCATAAAATGAACATATGATTATTCACACGCATTTGGAGAAGAAAATGGATTCTACTTACGCCACTGTAAAGAGCAATAAGTCCACCCGTTTGCAGTGAGCAACATTCCGCGTCAGCTCTTTTGTCAATGTTGTCCATCAGTGTTTCAAATCAGCTCCTGGCTCAGTGTGTGTGCGGCACGCCCAGCGAGGGACTCCTCTAAAGATGATGTTCCGTTTTGGCATGTTAAACCCAAACAACGCGACGGCCAGAGGAGCCACCTCTCTCGCTAGTTCTCTATTCTTAGCCATTTCCGTTAATAATACCCAGAGTATTGTCTGTGGGGGGCCTTGAGTTGCACCCCCCTCGACCTTCAGTCGGAGAGATCCTGTTTACCTTATAGAAAGTACTGTCTCCAAGTCAGTTGCCTCTCCGGGATACTCTACTGTCACCTTTTCCCTCACCTCCCCAACACACCTACACTTAGACAATAAGAGGCAGGCGCTGGCAGTCATCGCAGGCGTCTACTTTGTTCGGAAACGATAAAGTCGGGGACATCAAGTCTGCGTCAGCGGCCAAAAATGACATTTATACTGGCTCAACTTCAGAGCTCCTTTTTTTTCTACTCACCATCACATCACATGCCTGTGTGTGTACAAACTTACCAGTTTCACTGTGTTATCTGGGCTCCAGTGCCTGTTGCAGTTGGTGATGGATGAGACGTTTTCTGTGAGTCCATGAGCGTTCATGGACTATCACCACTGTTACTGCCATGAGCTTACCCGTGAAACCTATAAAGAAAAACAAAACACACACGCACGCACACATGCACGATGATTCGGTCGATCGAGCTGGGCTTGTACACACACACACGCACGCACGCACGATGATTCGGTAGATCGAGATGGGCTTGCGTGACATTTACTGTATGTTCACGTGGTAAAAAATGGTGAGAAAGTAAAATTAAACATAGTTTGTGTGATTAATCTTAATGAGAAGTTGGACACAGAAGCCATCCAACATAGGTGACACTAGCACAGACGGACTTTGTCAAAATGGCTAATAAAGATATTCATTGAACAATGCGACGTTTGTATTAAAAAAAAAAAAACGTTCATTTTTTTGGGGGGGGGTGAGGGCATTGCGCAAGTGAATGTGATGTGCGGTCAACACGAACATCTTCAGCGCACTAGCCATGAGCGCTCTTAGCTAGCGGGGCTAAGTAGCTACATGTTTACCACCCGGCTCTTTGTGTCATCTGGGCTGGAACTTCAATTGGGAAGAAACGCCGCGGACACTCTGTCAGCGGGACGACGACAAGTTGTGAGAAAACAGCTTGAGGCGTCGACTTACTGTGTTTGAAGGCGCGTGCTTAAATCCAGAACCACTGGAAGGAGCGTATATTTGCCTTTTCGTGGCTAGAGCAGCAAAAGCTAAGCTAAACCAAGGCGCTGTTTTCTGAGCACAATCCATTATCCGTCACCGCCTACCGATAGGTGGCAGTGTGATGATTTTTACTAAACGTAGAAGAAAACGTCGCTTACTGGAGATGATTATGTGTTTGTTTTTAGTTGCAAAACAGCTTCAAATAGGGTCTTTTTTGAAACTCCCAAATGGTGTCATTGAGCATTTTGCGAACAGTAGGTTCATTCCGGACGCTGTCGCTCACAATCCGGCTCGTCACGAGTGAACCGGCCGTTTTCAAAGCTGTTATATGTCCAGCAAGCTGTTCGGTTGTTGGCTTGGCTAAGGACACTTGGAGCAGCAGGTCCCTCAGAGCCATTGGGAAGCAAAGACAGTTGGCTTGCAACCTAAGTAACGTCACGACAATCAGGAGGTGCAGCACATGCAATGTTCCAATTAACTGTTGGAAGTGTAAAGAACCTTTTGACACAAGCCCAACATTCTTCTGCTCGTCCTGTAAAATAGTCCAGCCTCCTAATGAGGCAGTATCCTTCTTCAGCATCATGGACTGGTAAGGCTCTTCAAACCTTCATGTCATACATAACCGCTTTCGTGACAGCCTCGAGGTTCAGGCATAGACAAAAGATTTGCCCAAATTATCAGCCTGCGAAATTATGTCCGTTTTGGGTGGAGGGGGGCCTTATTTATATCTCATATTATTTACTCTACGGGATTTTGCATTGATTGATCATTTTTTCCCCACTGTATACTCATGTAGCGATCACTGCAAGCCAGGAGGAAAGAATGTCAAATGCAAGAGGCTGTCAAAGTTTGGGATCACTTCACACTTAATAAAAGACACCTAAGGGAAATCAACATTGTTAGCCACCACTCGTTCAAAGAAATTGACATCCACAACAAGCGAGCAAGTGGCCAAAATAATACCTGCACCTCAGATGCATATACAATATGTTGGTATTACTGTATTACGCTTTATAATGTTTTTAATGCATAAACAAAATGCCTGGTTGCCAATTTGTGTATTTTGTCTCTTGCCTGGGTGGTCTGGAATGTAACCCAAGCTGTAAACGAGGGATTACTTTATATCAAACTGACATACAAATCATGACTAAGTCGCTCAACAGCACCTTTGGGAAAAAAAATAAATATATCTTCATTCCCTTTTCCCCCCCACAGTGAGGACACATTTGCACTGGACATGCACAAACTGCAGAAAAGATACTTGCATCTCCAACGCTCCCTACATCCAGACAACTTCAGCCAGAAATCTGCGGTAGGCAGGGGTTTGTAAGTGGATAACAGCCCCGGAGCACGGTCCGTGAGTGGTCTGCCGCTTCCCCATCTCTTAAGTGTTTTTCAAGTACTGCACAGTCCTCAACATACATGAGTAAACAAGTACACTTGTTGAAAAGTAATCTTATCCGCTTATCCGCGAACAAACCATAATATTTTTGAAATATGATGATGATGATTACTCTCATGAGTTCGACTTTTTTTTTTGTGTGTGCCATAGAAAATGTTGCTTCTGAAAATGAACTCGAGGTAATCTGACAGATCTGTTGGGGTGCTGTCATTTATGTTGAGCACTGTATGTAGTAGCATTCTGATTTTATTCATGTTGCTAAAATGGCAATGGGGAATTGGGTAACAACGGGGAAATTGTGATTAATTTTGTGATGAAATGTTTGTCTGACACTTCTCAGATGCATCTTTAGATTAGTGACCGATGTTTATTACATAGGCTGGCGTTTTCATGATTAGACTACATCAGTTGTACTGCACTTGACATTCGGTAATTACCTAACCACACTCTCGTCATGCATGGTACAATTTTTTTTTAAATACTATAAAACAGAGTATTGTTATTTACTGAGTACCTAATACATTTCGTCTTTCTATGTCAGCTATCACAGAACATTGTGTATAAACACACAAAGATTAGACTACTCTGTCATCACATAAAAAAATTGTTTCTACCTTATTCCATTTTTTTTTTGTTTCAGAAGTAGCACGTGGGTTGGTTTCACCCAAATCACCTGTTTTGGATGGAAAAAACCCAGCAGAAAGCAAGATTTTTGTTAAAAGATATATTTTACACACAAGGGGGAGTTTTAAGCTAATAATGTTTGCTTTCGTGACACCTCAAACACCTGAACAGCCTTATTCTAAAAACGCCACCACCAACAATAAAAGTGTGTTTTTGATGGCAAAATCATGCACCGACAATGAATCGCCACACTGAACTATGTTGAAGTGAGTTAAGGAACTTCGCTTAGACATAAGTAAGACTCTACTGCCATCTTGTGGCATCTATTAGCCTCGACAAGCAATTCTAAAGCTTTTTTGGGGTGATGTTCATTATTCCCGGAATTTTGCTATTTGTGTTTGGTCACTGTCCACCTTGCGGGGGGTTCACTGTCCCAAAAGCCAAAGAAAAAGCAAAGCACAAGTGCAAAGTTATTCCTTTGATGCTTGCTGATTCAAAGCAATAGGGATAGGCTCAAGCTCACCCTCGACCCTCGCGAGGATAAAGCGGTAAAGAAAATGGATGGATGGATGGTAAACAGCCGATCAAATGTGCCCTTGTCGAACGTTACAAGGAAATTGCTTGACTGGAGCGCAATAAATAGGCTTTGTGAGCAAGGAGCGGGTGAGGAGGGGGTTGCTCTTCGTGTGCAACAGGACGCATGCAGCCTGAAGTCACAATCTGCAAAGACGAGGAATCTGCTATGGTTTCTTGAGGCAGGGCCTGTGTTTTGGCTATTTTATTCATACCCTCCTACGGCCATTCTTTTTTTTTTTTTTAAATTAGACATCTTCCAGCCTTGGGGGAGTGGGGGGGGGGGTCTGCATCACATGTAGACAGCCCATTACTTCTACAAGGCAGCCACCTACTGCATTGGTTGTTAATACAGCTCAACAATGATGAGACTATTTGATTTTTTTTTTCTTTTTCTTCACAAAGAGCTGACAGACTGCATATACTTTCAAAGTACACTCATACCTGTCAAAATATTTCTCCCATTTTTCATTTTGCCTTCAATAATACCTGTGGTGGTTGATTGGTTAGCAAACGTGCCTCACACAGGCAGAGGTCATGGTTTCCAATTTGGTCCCAGCCTCCCTGCGTGGAGTTTACATGTTCTCCCCGTGCTTGCTTGGGTTTTCTCCGGGTACTCTGGTTTCCTCCCATGATCCAAAAGAGGTTTCGCTGTTTTATGCAAATGGTTACGGACGACAAAAAGAGGCTAATCCATCATAAAATGTTCTCTTGCAGGAAGAACAGGAGTATTCTGCACACCAGTCGGCGCTTGTCAACAAAGCCTACTCGACTCTGCTCAAGCCTTTGAGTCGCGGCCTTTATCTGGTGCGTTCAAACCTCCCTCGACTAACGTCGTCTGTCTCAAGAGATGCGGCATGTCACCATGTCACGCATCACGGCGCCTCCGTGTCGTCTTGCCTTCCAGCTGGAGCTGAAGGGGATGCGCATCGACGAAGGCACGGATTCAGGGGTGGATACCGAGTTTCTGCTGGAGCTGATGGAGATCAATGAAGCCCTCGAACAGGCGCAGACTCCAGAGGAAACCGATAAGATCAGCCAGGACACCAAATGTAAACAGATGACTTCATGTCCGCTCAGCTCATTAAGCCTCTCACACAGATGTAATCTTTGATCCGCAGTTAGTATGGGTCACACACTGGGTTGGTCGATTTATCTCAGACAACAGCTCATACACTATCTTACAACAACTATATTACAAACCCGAATCATTCATTAAAAAAAAAAAAAAAAATGCTGATAAACCAGCAATATACTTTTTCCTAATAAAAAAATGTGGGGAAACGTGGTGCTCAAATCTTTTTTTGTGTGTATGGAAAGATAATGCAGGAACAAGCATAGCCCCTCAATCATATTAACATTTTGAGTGAGCTGAAGTTTGTGGAAAAAAACAATTTACAAAATGAGTTCTTGTACATGTTGGTTTCTTGTTCAGCAGTTTTGTGCCGCCCTTGAATGGGCATATTTAAGCAAGCGAGTCCTTTGTGCTGGGAAAAATAAAATTAAAAAAACACTATGTGGTTATTTTCAGGGGTATTAGGTCATAAACTGACCTCGATGGGTGTGGACATTTGGGCTCCGAGGTTGCAGAGATTTGCGACAAATTGCACTTCCTCTTGAAGCTCTTGTTGTTTCTGTGGGTTTTTTCTCTTTCACAAAATTCCCTTTGTTGTACTTTCTGCATTCCCAGACACTTAGTGATTAAATGTTCGGTTTGCAATGAAAGAGCCGGTCCTTTTTTTTTTATGTACACGTGCACTCGTTGAACTTGTCGCATCCTCCTCGCTTGCAGGGAAACTGAAAGGCCTGACAGCGAAGATAGATGACGCCCTGCGTGCAGGTAAGACATCAAGAAGTCCCTTTGAAACATCTTCCACTTTCCTCCCACTCATTGCATGCTAGTTTTGTAATCTATGCTGAAGCTCCATGTCGCTCAGTGAGTCATCACTTGAACCTCTTTTTTGTGCTCTGTCTTGTCTTTATTATTATTATTATTTTCCCTGGCAGGAGAGCTCCAAGATGCCAAGGAGTTGCTTGCCCAAATGAAATACTTCTCCAATATTGAAGAGAAAGTCAAGGAAAAACTTTCTGGATTCATGTGATCCACCCCCCCCATCATTGTGACACTTTGAAAAGATTTGTACTGAGGCATCATGATGACTTTTGCACCGCTGTACATGCAGCGTTCATAAATGTGGACGGACCTTAAACCAAAGTGCTTCTCAATTTCGCTTGACTTCCATTTATTTCATCAGTGTTTTGGCTTTATTGCTCCTCGAGATTAGTAATCAACGAAGCCTTAGTTTGATTGTTCCCTCGACGTCCACAACTTGGTCAGAAAAGACAAAAATTCCTGACTCTCTTCTTGGTTTTATTACAGTTTACCTCTAGAATGAAAGCTTCGCAAGAGACGTTACTCTCAGATACCGACAATGAAGAATTCGGTGAATGAATTAGCCAATAGAGAGGTTAAAAAAAAATTAAAAATGTGCTCATCGCCGTTCTTACCGGACCACATTGCTTCCTTCCGCCTTGAAGGCAATTGAATGGGAAATATCCGAAAGACACGACATATTCTCCAATAATAAACATAAATCACGTTTTTTTTGGATAAACATTTATTCACTTCCGTTGTATTTAGGTTCCTACAGAGCCCTGGAGGAAATTTAGTACATCTAGAGTTGACATTTCACAATCAATTTGACCGTAATCCCGCATTGAATCTGAAAGGAATTTGGGTCGCGTCTCATTGTTATCCGACTCGTCGTCCTCATATGGTGATCGGCAACCGCAGTTCCTCAGGTTTCCTTTAGGTGGAGACATTACACCTGCGCAGCGCTCTCGGGACACGTTGTACAGACTCGATATGAGAGCAGTAGGAAGTCCTTTATTGCGGCAGACAATCTCTTGAATAATTCATGGCGGCCTCGTATTTGGCATCGACGCTGTGATAATCAGGAAGCGCCGCTGAATGACGATCACCGGATGAGCCAAAGATCTGTGATCTGTGTGATTTCCACCTGATAAAGTGTGTGGCATAATGAAAATGGGCACAGAATGTTCATAAACCGTAATTACTTTGTAAAGCGGGTGCTCCACTTGCATCAAAGCGGCTGATCTTTAGCGTGCCGCCAAATTTGATAAAAGAGCTCGAACTGTGAATGTCGGGTGATGTTGTTGACACACTGGCATCAGCTATGCAACATTTTCCATTTTGTTGTTTGATTCGTGTTTCGATGCAGTCCAGCGTTGCATCCTGACTGGGTGATTTAGTCTCCAACAACAACAATTTCATGTATTTGAAGCTTTTTTTCCCCCCCACCGTGGCAAGAGCCATCAACACACACGTAGAAGAGAATTAATCTGATTGGGATGCGCATCCACCAGCAGCTATTATTATTCATGTGGTAATCAGAAGTCACCCCCGGTGTCTTTAAATTAATGAGAAAATATGATTGACCAACTCCGAGGCTGCTGTCATCGGCCGGAATTCTTTTGAAATTGAGTTTGAAAGACACCTAAGTGGGGAACTTAACTCTATAGACAGCATGTTAAATTGACTTGGATGGGCAGCTCGGCAAAAATGACTTATGGATACTTGTGATTAGCATGCAGTTCCACGCCTCAGCGTCACTATTTATTCCTTCTTTTGATCTGTTTCTTTAGATTCAAAGGCCTGGAATATTCTTTTTCTAAATATTATATTGACATCTATTAATTTATCAATTTAGCGGACTCGCTTGGTAGAGGAGTTGTCTGTTCGAGCTGATTCTTTGTTAAATTTAAGTACTTTTTTTTTTAACGGCCGAAAAACACCCACAAACGAACTCAATTATTGTTTTGTACTTTTTGGGGGGCTGAAAATGTCGAGTACAGTACACAAGTACAGTACTGTGAATATTTATTTTTTTAAACATTGTAAACGCTTTTGTTGGTGTTTGTTTGTAACAGCCATTGTGCTTCTCGCTTCGAGTCACCACTGATTTGTGCACAGCCCGACACATGTCCATATTTTCAATGACCTTTGATGGGCAAAATCGGTCCTGCCAACATGGCCGCCACATAGGCAAACATGTGGTCTACTATACAGTATATCTGTGACAACAGTGGCACAAACATATGGACGTGAACGTGGTCTCTTGTCTGCTGCGCTGTTTCTTGTCAAATGTGGCCGATCACGGCAAATTCTGGAACCGACACACTTTGACAGCTGAACAAAGTGCTCTTTTGAGTAGTCTGGACACTATTTTCTGTCCGTTCGTTGCTTCCCGGTCTGTTATATTGAATTTTCACTGTATTAGGAAAGGTAAATGCTGTTACTGTCAGTGGAAATGGTGTGTCCGTTTTTAATGCTCTGTGATTGACCGGCGAGCAGCCCGAGGTCCAGATAGTCTGCCTCTTCATTTGAAGCGAGCTGTGATAAGCGGCGTAGAAATTGAACGGATGGAGAAAAAAATATCGTTGCTGTCCAGTAAAAAGCATGTCTCCAGAATGAGTGAGTTTTGTTTTTAGCCTAAACTTTAAATGGAGACCTGTATCTTTTGTTTTTCAATTTAAGAGCAGAAAACTCACAAAATGTGCAGACAGATGCTGTTTAATGGACGGCAGCACACATCTCGCAAAATGCATTTGTTTAATTCTAGTCAGACACTCCGAAGGGGTTGTCTCGCAACATACTTTGTTTCACAAATCCATCTGGGAGGGAGATCAAAACAGTTTGGAAAATAGAAAGCACTGATAAAAACTGAAAGAAAATAATATAAAAACTACGGTAAAGGCAATTGGCATTGGGAAATAGAATGGGAATGTGTCAAAATTTAAAATATTTTAGACGGAGAATGTTGCCATACCTCGGGCAAACATGAGTCATGCTGTCTGATCAGCATCTTCATATGTCACACGTGTGAGATGGATGAATTTTTCCGGCAAAGCCGACGTTTTCAGTACCACCGATTTTGACAGATGTTTGATTATTATTGAGGAATAGGCCTTTTGTGTGCCGAGAAAAAAAAAGGTGCATTTCAAAAATGGGAGTAAAAACAAAAGTATTGATTTGATGTTAACGTTTTCTTTCATGACACCTAAATATGAACAAAAATGAAAGTGTGCTCGTGATGGCAAAATAATGTATTGACAGTGAATTATCAGTGCAACAAGTTAACACGTGACAGACTTCACTAGCTATTTGCATGCTATTTATTCGTAATAGTAGTAGTATTTAGTAGCGTGTGTGCACTTTGCGTCATCGCTTCGCCTTCTAAATTCAAATAATTTCGGACATCTTTTCTTTCTTTTGTGACACTCTTTGTTGTAGATTCAACATGACAAAGGCTTTGATCACTCACACGCTGCTTGTGACGGCCACATTTTCCAAATATCCACCATGTTCATGGGTTTTCGCTGACCACAGAGACATGATGATCTCATCCAAAAGAGACCCAGTGCTGCCATAGTTCTTTTATAATTTTTAAATTATTACTCTTATTATTATTTTATTTTTACTTTCCCATCTTAATAATCAAACCAGAGCTGCCCAGCGCTGGCGCTGCTTGTTAACGTCAACGGCGCTCAAAGAGTGAATCAACAATCCATTCCAATCAATCAGCATTCTTCTCAAGGACCAATGATTAATCAGTGATGCCCATCTTTCATGTGCTTATTTACTTGACAATTGTCACCCAGAAACCAAATGTGTGGGCTGCAAATATTGACAAGCATGGAGTCATTTTGTTTTTGGCACATTCATTCATCCGATAGCTGCTGGCTACTCTTCCCCTACAAAGAGCGGTTTGATCATTCCGCAATTGAATCGTTTGAAAACGTAAAGCCCGCGATAAATAAAAAAACGAGAGCAATAACTTACATTGAAAACTGACTCGGGATATGCATCGTGGAGTGGGGAAATGAACTTATTTGTGCTCAATGGGGTAAAGCATTTGATAATGGTGTCACAACAATGTGCCCGGTCTTTGAGGTGCTTCGATTGGCCTCCAGTCGTTTTACTAATGGCGCATGCTGTCGCAGTCGTGTGAACATTACGGACTTAACATATTGAGACTAATGTGTTCTTTTGTCAAACAGGCTGACCTTAATGTTCACATGATAACATTAAGCCTGCCTGCCAGTGAACCACTCGCAGACAGCGGAAATGCTTCTGACAGCAACTGATAGTTTCGACACTTTATATGGTCCCATGCTTGGAATTTCCATCTGGACCTTAAGCAATCATCAAGCATCATTAAGATCATTAAGATCCTTGTCCTTGTGGTGTGACACGCGCGCCACCTGCGTGCTGCGTATGTGCAGTGATGTCCCACCAGGTAGTCGGGCCATCATAATCCGCCATTATCGGGTTTCCATCCCGGTCGTAATCCACGTTTTCATGTTCTTCTCATCCGTCAGAAGCCGAGTCATTGCTTCTCGGCAGAGCCGTAGCCTCAGCCGAAATCCCGGAGCTCAAGTGCGAGGAATTTTTTAAGTCCTTTTGGTCTTTTGATACAGTTTGATATTGGATCTGCTTCAGGTGCTGTCAAATGGCAAAAAGTGAAAGGCTTTGCAAAAAGCGTCTCCTCGCGCACAGCATCCACTTGATGAGTGATAAGGCTGAGTCCGCTTGTTCCTGAAAGAGGAAAAGAAAACACTTTGGGGTACTTCTCGTGACAGATTGGGTTGTTCTTTTTTTTTTTTTCTAACTGTGAGTCTGTGGTGGTTTCGCACTAAGGGCAGAAGAGGCTGTGCCCAATCAGATTAGTCAGGATTAGGGCCCAATCGATATGGATTTTCGTGTTTTTTTTTATGGTGGTTCCGATGTTTGGCAGAAGAAAATTCCAATAAACGATTAATCGGCCGGGACGGCACGGTGTCCGACTGGTTAACACATCTGCCTCACGGTGCAAAGGTGCGGGTTTCGATTCCGATCCCCGGCCTTCCTGTGTGGCATTTGCATGTTCTCTCCCCGTGCCTGCGTGGGTTTTCTCCGGGTACTCCGGTTTCCTCCCACGTTCCAAAAACGTGCACGACACACCAAATTGTCCCTAGGTGTGAGTGTGAGCGCAGATGGTTGTTCATCTCTGTGTGCCCTGCGATTGGCTGGCAACCAGTTCAGGGTGTCCCCCGCCTGCTGCCCGAAGATGGCCGGGATAGGCTCCAGCACCCCCCCGCGACCCTTGTGAGGATAAGCGGATCGGAAAATGAATGAATGAATGAATGTCCCTCGCTGTGATTGT